TTAAAAAAAGGTAATACCATAATTCCTCAATTCTAGACACACCATCAACTTATTAACAGCTTCTCTGAGGGATGGAGGAAGGAAATATGACCACACTAAATGTGCACACTGATTTTAAGATATACCCCATTTCAGAAATGTTAACCTTGGGGTTGGGGACAGTGTCACGAAGCAGATGAGGCATAGAGTAGGGGAGTGGAAGTGAGAACACAACCCAAATTCAGGAAATCTAATACCTGGACAACCTCTTCTGGCTCTGTTGAGAGTTAATCACCTCCGTAGATGGGTGGCTTTGGGTAGGCTGGTAAGTTGAGGGCCACAAAAGAAGTATGGACCTTTTTTTTTACTCACTTAATGACTGCCCAGGAAAAAATTGAGATGGAACATCTGTAGTAAATGAAAAAGACTTCAGATCAGAGAACTGTCTCATCTTTCAGCATACAAAACCATACTACACACCCTTTCTAAAACAGATCCCCAGTGGTGGACTTCGGTCAGTAGCACAGACATACACATCCAGATTCAGAAATGTTGAAAGTCTGTTTACAGAGGCACTGAAAATATTTTCTTTATGGGATTCCACAAGAGGAATCTTATTGTTTGTGAACTGTACATATTCAGAGATATCATCATCATATGAATTTTTCACTCCAATTCATACTTGGAACCACCTGCTTTGATCTCTGTGGGTTCTATACTCTACACTGAAGAATTTTTACTCCTAAGTAAAATGCGTTTGTTCATATTTCTCAAAAGAGACCCTTGATTGAGAGGAGAGATAATGTTGTGATGCTGAGTTGTTACGATTTAATGTTGATGCACCTCATGGTATATTGTCATATTTCACTGTAATATCTAAGATCTTCACCAAGTTTCTTTTAAAGAAAAAGTACATTTTTGAGGCTCTTTCTGTAAGTAAAAGTGATAGCTTAAGAAGTTTAGCTGCCTAAAACCGCAACACCACTGTCTATATTTACCTCTGTAAAGGCATGAGGCCACATCAGAAAATTAAAACATGCCCCCCTTCATAGAGGGAGTCACTAGCAGAGGCGACTGACTTTCTGCTTCTACAGAGATATCATTTGAGCTTTACTGAGTAGTACTTCCATTAGCCATGAAAACCTCAGGAAAACTGGAATAATGAAGAAAAAAATCAGGGGGAGACCATAAAAGCCCAGTTCATTTCGAGGAGAAAGCAGTTACCAGCCCTTCCCCCTACATTTTAAATATCACAATGAATTTAAGTAACAAAATAAACAATTCACTGAGAACACACTTTATGTACAACTTTAATTTCTTCCTACTGTGTTCATTACCAAGCTGTTTGCTTTCTTCAGGCAGGATGGGGGAAAAAACTTTTAAAAGACTCATTTAACACAGAAGTCTATTTCCACTAATGTATTCTTCGTGTGGCATATGTGGTTTTCCAAAGCTGATCTACATATACAAATATACATATATTAGTCTCTTCCTTTATAAGAACAACAGAAGTTAGCCCACCTTCAAACACACCATCGCTATTCTTATCCCACAGGAAAAAAACATGGATATAAGAACTGTATTATTTATAATAATTGCAAACTGGTTAGTATTTCTGATAGAACTGATTTTCCCTTCACTTGTATAAAAACAGCTCTAATTGTGAAAAGAATAATGTAACTATTGTATAACCCAGATTTTACTTTCTAAGAAGTTAGGCGGGGAGTATTCTTCATGCATTCGGCCCTGCGGAAGCAAGAATAAAGTGCTTTCCATCAACTATAGCTATTAAGTTATTTAACACAGGAAGAGTTTACAGGCACTGCGGGCTTTGATACCTCAGATTTGTAAAGGGGAGCATGAGAGGTGCACACGGACCACCAGAGCTTTCACAGGATCACCAAGGGCTCCACTGGTCCTAAACATCCAAAAGCCCCTTTTGTACGTGTTCAGTGAAAGACAAGAACGCGAGGGATTTGCACTAGTGTGTGGGAGGGCAGGAGAGAGAGATGAAAGCTCTTGAAACGGAACCACCTACAAAATTTTCATCGCAAAGATTCCAAAGAAGGCCTTCTTTTTCCCTTGAGCTCTTCAGATCACACCTATAGGTAGAGATAGAGGGGTTTAATTGGCAAGAATGCACGTCTAGTTTGTAAGAAATGGGAGAATATAAGGGACAGTACTTAAAATTCCTCAAAATGTCTTCAAACCTCATTCTGTCCAGAAAATTTAGCCAGTGGAAGCAGGTTAAGGGATATCAGCACATCCCCCACACAGACATGCACCTGCGCATTCAGAATCCAAAAGCAAGACTAAAACTAGCCAGAGAAAATAATCAAAATAATCGAAAATAATGCGTAGGCAAAATGTACACATATGAAACACAGACATTAAAGGAAATATATTAAATTGAATATATACATTGAGTTGTATCTTTTTTTTAAACAGTTTTATTTATTTATTTATTTTTTATTTTTTTAATTAATTTATTTTTTGTGTGTGAGGAAGATCAGCCCTGAGCTAACATCCATGCTAATCCTCCTCTTTTTGCTGAGGAAGACTGGCTCTGAGCTAACATCTATTGCCAATCCTCCTCCTTTGTTTTTTTCCCGAAAGCCCCAGTAGATAGTTGTATGTCATAGTTGCATATCCTTCTAGTTGCTGGATGTGGGACGCGGCCTCAGCATGGCCGGAGAAGCAGTGCATCGGTGCACACCCGGGATCAGAACCTCGGCCGCCAGTAGCGGAGCGCGCACACTTCACCGCTAAGCCACGGGGCCAGCCCTGTATCTTTGATAAATGCAATCCTAAAAAAGAATTTTCTCTATCTATAGAGTTTTCTAATAGCTAGTCCTTCATTATGTTTCCTCGTACGGAAAAACAGTGCTTGGTTCTACACAATTAGGCTGGGCTAGAATCTTCTACCCAATGGTACTCATCACAGATGTACAGATCTGTGAAATAGTATACGTACATTAAGCCTTTTCAGAATTTCAGTCCAAAAAGTGCCCAAGAAATATATTTCAGACTCAGCTTCATCATTTTTACACATGACGCAGGTGATTTCCCCTTATGTGGCTGTGCAAATGTCAGTTGGCATCTTAGTCATTTACAGAGCACTTTCACCTACATTATCCCAACAGATCCTCATGGTGGTCCTGTGAGGTAGGTAGAAGGAGAACTATTATTTTTCCTCGCTTTCAACGAGGAAGGAAAATTCATGGAAGTGAGCAAGTCAGAGATAATGAAGATAGAACCAAACTGTCTAACTCTTAGTCTAGCGCTCCTTGGGGAAATTACAGATAGGTTTGTGTCTCGCAATATATGGACTATTCCCTTTGTAGTTACCAATCACAGTATTCTGGCAATAGCCTTTTTCAGTAATGTCCTTTTGTCCATCTTCTAGGTCCCTAACAGCAAAGCTATTTTTCACCAATCTTTTTCATTAATTCATCTCCTGGGTTAAGGTTCCTTCCTCCAGAACATCTCCCCTTAAACAGAGATCAGAGAAGCATGAGCTGGGTTTCTGTCTATCAGTCCAAAGAGAGACAGAACTGCTCATACTTGGTAACCCACCTTCTAGCACACTGCTGTTTTTTATTAACAAACACATCACCCTAAATAAGGCACATCTGGCTTGCTTTTTCTTAACAATCAATCTGCCTTTAGAGCTAGAATTCATAAGGGGTACAGCCTCCCATTCTGTTACAGAAATTCTATAGTCTCCCCCACCTTTTTCCTCTCAATCAGTTCTCACTGAAGTGATTTCTTATGCAGAAATGCAATGGCATATTGTATGAAATGATTATATATTTTAATTCTTTTGTTCATTTCAATAGTGAGTATTTGAGAGGAAGCTAAAACGAGTTCTGACAATGACAGGTGCAAGGTGGCAATTGAGTTAGCATCAATGCATTAATTTTAAACCACTTGTAGAAATGGATCACTGTTTATTTGCATGGGTCTGAAATCCCCGAATACACACATTTGTTCTGAGAAGATGACAGCAGTTCTCCACATTAACAGTGAAAATATTAAGCCTGCAGAAGACATTTTGGTTGCTTTGACAGAGTAGCTTGAGTGCTATGCCACCTCATTAAACCCAGCCAAAGTAAACAAAGAAAAGGTTGATGAAGTCATAGCTCAGGAGTGAGGTCACCAGATAATCTGACTTCATAACAAAAAGAGAGGATTGACAGATGAAAAGGTGTCCCCAGGGTAGAAGTCAACATTCCTTTGCCTAAATGAGTCTTTCAGATCAGGAAAAATATTTGCTGGCTAGACTCTCTTAGCTGGCCCACAGTAGCATGTGACTAATTGCACTTTAAAGCCTGTTGTGAATGATATAATGATTAACCAACCATTCAAATCCTAGAGAGGTCACATTAGCAGCCCCTATAATGCTTCAGAGCCAAAGCCGTAGAGTGTGAAATCGAATTCCACCATGAGCTCAGAGAACGATTAAAGTCAGAAGTGATCCCTGGCTGCTTATACATGAAGTCCAAGATTTCTAATATTATCAATAACATGGGGTAGGCACAGGATAATTGTAGGTGGCAAAAAAGATGGTTACATTTTGCTTTTGGTCTTTTAATGAGCCAAGAAAAGCAGTTGGGCTAATGAAACTATTAGTTATTAGTTGTAAATTTTGGAAATGAATGTTATTTTTAAGAGTTTAGGAGACTGACTGTAAATATTTGAAAGAGCACACTATTAATTCAAGCCAATCAATAATACAGCATAACCCTCCAGCTACATTACCAATGAGAAGAAATTTATTCACTAGTTTTATTCCTGCTGAAATCCATATCCAAAGGTTTGGGATTGAGTATAGCTAGATAAGTTGTGTTCTTTTCATCAAAATATTATTTATTACTCAAACATTTCTAAAGCAATAACATGTTATGACTCTAATTCGTTGAGTAGAAAACTGAATATTTACTGACATTTCTTGAAAACTTGCTACAGGCCTACAGGAAAGAATTTGACATCATCACACCGTGTTTTCCTTAACTTGACAGGAAGTCAACTTCAAGCAGATTGACTTGAATCGGGATCTCATTTGGGAAGCATTAAGTGTCTAATACACTGCATTATATTTTTTTTATTTGGAAAACACTCAAGTTCCAGTGGCTTTATCATCCTGTACTTTACTTTCTGAAAACCTGGCAATCCCATGTGGACTTCAGGTAGAATGAGCAATGCAAAGAGCTGGCTTGGACTTGGCATGTCCTTGTACTTCTGCGGACTGATGGACCTTACTACCACCGTTCTCTCCAGCACACCAACACCGCCAGGCAAATTAGAAGAGCTCCTGTCAGACAAGCCACAGTCACACTCGCGGACAAAGAGGAGCTGGGTTTGGAACCAGTTTTTTGTTCTGGAAGAGTACACTGGAACTGACCCTTTGTATGTGGGCAAGGTAAGAATTGCCAAATAGAAAGATAAATTATCAGAGTATCAAATATTGAAATTGAATATGAATATGAATATGAATTGAATGTGAAAGCTCACATAGCCTGTGTCTGAGGCCTGAGAACAATTTTAACTAGTGGGATGTTACTTGACAGGTAGTTGAAATCTAATTTTTGCTTTGTCTGATACCAGTCAGAAAGAAAAGATTTCTCTGTCTGTTCTTGCTTCTGTTCTAAGTGGGAAAAACGAGGAACTGCATTTTGGAGGAAAAACCTCAGATCCTATAAGAGCCATTCAAGTCCCCAAAGAGGCAGCAGCAGCCTTGGGAATGATGGGATGGGGGAAAAAGAAACTGGGAAATGTAAAGGGGAAAGTAGAGGGTTTTTTGCTTTGTAGATTTTTTTTTTTTCCAAAGCATTTCCACAGGTATTGCCTGAGGCCTAAATTTAATGGAAAAAAAAAGAATAAAACATTCTTCATTTCAGAAGATCCTAGCATGTGCTTTAGGATAGTTGGAGACAATCAATGAATATATTTATAAACTTTATACTCGAATTCCCTTGATTTATCTATCATAATTTCATTTTTAATCCAGGCTTTCTCCTATGTTTACTTTATTCGGATGTTAATCAGAGACCATTTCATGAAAGCAACCAAGTGAGAGAAAACGGGAAACAAGGAACTAATTAGAAAATAAATACTTCATTCAAATGATAACTTAAACACTTGTTTAGCACAGAGACAGAGTATGGGTTTCAGAGTCAAACACATGTGGGTTCAAAACCCAGCTCTGCCAGTTGCTTCTAGAGTGACTTTGGACAGGTCACTAAGCCCTGTTAGCCTGTTTCCTCAAATGTCGAATGGGAATAATAAGAGAACTACAACTTCTAAAGACTTGTCTACATGAGCTCTTTCCTCAACTCCCACCCACTTCTTAACCCAGTTATCTGACTTCTGTCCCCACCACTGCACTAAGGTTGTGTTTTTGATGCTCCTAAGGACCTCCCTACCACCAAAGCCAGTGGTTTCATTTTATGGAACTGCCCAACAGCGGCCTTGGATGCTGCTGACTGGTCCCTCCTTCTTCACTCACTTTCCTCTCAGCTTCAAGATCTTCACAAGCCCGTTTTTCCTCCTTCCTTCTCAGCCTCTTTGCTGGTCCTCTTCCTCCACCTGATCCCTTGTTCATGGTCTTGTAAGCTTTGCCCTGGGCCTCTTCTCTATCCACACTGAGTGGATTCGCCCTCCTTTAGTTTTAAACACCACCTCTAAACCAATGAATCCAAAACCTCCATCTCTGGCTCAAAACACTTGTCTGAGCTGCAGACTCATAAACCCGACTGCATATGTGATAGCTCCACGTTTATGACTCACACAACTCCCGACTGTAGCATATCCAATAAGGAAGTCTTGTTTTTCCTCCCAAACCGAGTCTGCCCGCAGTCTTCCTATATTAGCACTGCCATCTCTCAGTTCCTAAAACCAGAGACCTGGTGATCATTCCTCCCTTTCTCTTGCTGCCTCCACCCCACATTCTCCCCACCTGCAAATTCTGTTAGTCCTATGCCAAAATAAATCCCAAATCTTTCATTTCTCTCATCTCCACTTCCACCGTTCTCTCTCACCTGTGCAAATACCTACACTCCCAACCAGTCCCCTCACCTCTACGCACACTTCCTTCCAATCCACTCTCCACACATGATCTTTTTAAATGTGGGTCAGACCATGTCACTCTGCTTACATCCTTCAATGTCTTCGTGTTGTACTTTGAATCATCCAGACTCCTCCCCTCAGTTTATGAGGCCATTCCTCTCTGACTCAGCCTGCCTCCTGGCCTCCAACCACATCACATCCAGGGACGTAGCCTTCTTTCTGTTCCTACAACTTGCCAAGCTTTGCCTTATTGTGCCCCCCTAATGAAATGCCCTGCCCGTGGCTTCTCTCAGGGTTGGCTCCTCCTCATCCTTTAGGGCTCACTTGGAATCTAGGTCTTCCTTGACCAATCTCTAAGGGAAAACCCTCTGTTAGACTCTCTCACTACCATTATTTTTTTCACAGCTCTAATCACAACCTACAATATCTAATTTATTTGTTTATTTACATTGTATTATCTGAAGCCCCTGACTAGACTATAAGCTCAGGAAGGGCAAAGACGTTGCTCCCATTTTATCACCAAGGACTAACACAGCACCTGTCACATAGAAGGTGCTCAAAAAGATATTTAATGAATGAGTACCCCATGGTGTAGTAAGCATTAAATAAGCTAACACATGTAAAGTGCCTAGCACGGTACCTGGCCCAGAGTAAGATCTTGATAATCACTACCCTGTAGTAGTAAGAAGTAGTAGTAGTAATAGTAGTAGTAGTAGTTGTTGTAGTAGTTGCCATTGTAGTAGTAATTGTAGTAGTAGTAATGTAGTAGTTGTTGTAGTAGTAGCAGTAATTTTAGTAGTAGCAGTAGTCGTAGTTGTAGTCATATAGGGAGTTCATAACGGGAATTTTGCAGCTCAGTAATGCATACCTAATGCAGCTGCAAATCTCTTGGCCTCACAATCTGTGATTTTTCTTTGACTTCTCCCTTTCCTTCCCTCCTTCCTTCATGCACAACCAGTCATCACGTCCTGTCAATATCTCCTTGCCAGTTTCTCTCAGATTCACCTCATCCTCTCCAGGCTCTGTCATTACTGTGGTCCCTCTGTTCTTCATGATGAGATTAATTAAGCAGGCACTGTCTGTCTCCCTGTAGAGAGACTCTTCCCATCCCTTGCCCCAGGACTCAAGACATTTATCTCCTTGAAGCATCCTTTCCATCATGTTGCTCCTCTGATTAAGAAAGCACAGTAGCTCTCCAATGCTTATCAGAGCTCATAGCATATAGTTCAAGGACTTCCAGAAAACGAGTCCTTCTCCCTTATCCAACCCCTCCTACAATTTCTCCAATCTGGTCCTGATCCCAGCCAAGCAGGATCTCCTTACTGGCCCTGACACATGTACCACGTTTGTCCCTACTCCAGATGTGTGCCCCTGCTACTGCCCTGCCCAGGACACGCTGTCACCTCCTCTCTGTTCAATCACATTCAAATTCCTCAGGGCTTCAGCTTAAAAGCCACCTCCATCATGAACACATCTTCCATCTATTCAGAATTCTAGAGACTTCTAGCTAATCAATATTTGTAAAACATTTCTTCCAACTAGACATACATGGCTACTACTAAAATAAGTTTAAGAAAACACATTTGTACTCAGTAACTGCTTTGTGTGCATGTAGAATTTAGAGCCCTCTTCCCTTGTTCCAAGGGTAGAAACTGAAAAATCATCTCTGGCCTTCCCTAAACCTCCCCAACACTGAGTACCCAGCACACAACTGGACATACAAAAATGTAGAAAGGCAAGGGTATCTAACGTTCTACTGGGCTACCACAGTACTATGGTCAGTCACATTTACATAGAGCAGATCATTTAACCATCATAACCGCTGTGAGGTAAGTATAATTCACCACTTAGGGAACTAGGCTCAGAGAGGTTGTGTTTATTGCCCAAAGTTACACAGAAGGTAACAGGAAATCTGACACCGAAGCCATGGGCTTTCCTTTATGTTGCCCTGCATGTGGCCATGACTTTAGACTTAGCCCTGAGAAATAACACAGAAGAGTCAATGGTGTTAGGGGTAGAATCAGGAATCTAACCAAGCCTGACTGCTTCCTGACGTTGGGAGTACTTAGCTGTGTAGCACCCTCTGGTAATAACGATTAGTGCTCACCCTTCACTAATTACCCCAACCCAGGACACAGGACACCCCGTGCACCTCTACAGTCATCTTATCCAACCAACATACCAGCAACTAGTGAAAGTTTTTACCCTGAATTGGGTGTGTTACCTCCACATAAGGAAGATTATTACATATTTACTTACCCAGGCACTTTTCCCCTTTACTTTCTTTTGAAAGAGAATTCATCCACCTTTCATTCCCTCTCCCCCAGGGGCATTCAGCTTGTCACCTTGAGCTCTGGAAGATGTCTGTTTAGACAGCCTGCCTGAGTATTTGCTTATTTCAGAAAGGAGTATGGCAACAATTATCAGCTGTAATTGGTATGGCCTTATAAAATCCACACTGGGCTTTCCAGGGACAAGGCAGTGTCTAGTTAAAGCTGGATTATATTGACATATGCAAAGAGGGGGATGCAGAGGGCTTGTGCTTGTGCACGAATCTGTGGTTCCAAGTCATGCTGAGGTTAACAACTACACAGAAGCTGTCTAGCCACCAATTGTAAGCACTTACTGCATTCCTGGGACTATACAAGGCACTATGAAAGATGACAAAAGGTGTGAAAATCACCCTTGTTTTTAAAATCCTAAATCAACTAATATTTTTCATAATCTACATGCGCTTTCCATCATTCACTACTTCTTTGGCTGAAGATTTTCTAGAATGAAGAATTACTGGGATAAGGAGGATATCCACCTGTCTTATTCTGTGTAGGAGATTTTTGGAGAAAAAAATGTTCTCCTAAGATATACATAACTATGTGCTGCCAACTTCACTCCAGAAGCTCCTTACCTTCCTCCAAAGAGCTGATGCTCAATCAGTGTTAGTTGAATTAAATATAGATAAATATAAAACACATTTTTACTAAACTGCCAATTCGCTGAGTGACAGAGAAAAGCTGTTAATGTGTCTTCTTTGCAATTTTTACAACCAAATATGTATTCTATGGTTGAGAAACCCTGATATTAAGTGCACGTTACTGTGCTGGTATTAAGCTAGTGTCTCTCTGCTCTATATTCACCTTTCCATATTCCACTTTGTAACACTGGGGCTGGGACTCTACAAGCCACCATATCTCCTTTTCCAACCATCTCCCCCATTGGGTTCTGACAGTAGAACGTAGTAGAGGGAGAATGGGAGGCAGGAGGAGGGGAAAGGCACTTGCTCCTTTTACCCAGCCAGCAGTTGGTTCCAGTTTCTGGGTTCTTTCCACACTCCTGCCAGCCTCACCACAGCCCCTCAGAAATATCAGCACCACTGGATGGCACCCCCTTCTCAGAAGTCTCAGTTCTGTGGGAGGTGGGTTCTGGGGGGCACGTCCTCTAAGCTCCTGAATCCCCAGCCCCGGGGAAAGCACTCTCTCCTCAGAGGTCTCAGGCCCGCCTCCTCTAAACATCTAGGTCCCAAGAGCCCCAACCTCGGCCCACCGCTCCCCCAGCCAGGGGGCCACTAACTTGTTTCCTGGAGTTACTATCTCTCCGATAGCTCAGGATTCCCTTTTTGCCTTTTCAGGCTCCTTATTAAACTCTGTCTGCTAAAATAACTGGTGTAGCTCTTGTTCCCTGACTGGATCCTGAACTGATACACTTATGCTCCTCAGAAATCAGCTCTGTGTAAGCAGATCCTGGCCTCTTTCATAGCTGGTGCTCCTCCTGCTCGCGAGAGGCCCCTCCTGCTTCCATGGACATCCTCTCTCTCCCTCCCTTCCTCTCTCTCTCTTGAACGCACACACACATGCACACATGCGTGCAAAAATGCACTCAGAAGCTACTTGAAAGATGCATGCTAGCCCTTTTCAAACAAAGGTAAAATGATTTCACAAAAAGCGTTAACCCTAATCCTACACCCCACACCATTCTTTCAATAAAATTTTTTTGAACATTTACTACATGTGAGACCCACACTAAGATGACAGCCACGTGGTTCCTGACTGCAAGGAACTCACAGCCCAGAGTTCCTCAAATTCTTCTCCCAATACAGACGAAAACAAAGATAACAGAGCTGAGGTTCAGTCCAGACTCTATCAACATCAGCCAGTGGATGGCTCCTGAGGAAACAGAACCGCCCGCTGTAGACATTTTTTAGATTTTTTTTTAGACTTTTGTCACTTATTAAGCACTCTCCATGCGCAGAGCACTTAAACTTGGCCTCTGAGGATCACAAGTATGCTTAGCTTTTTTAAGGCTCATAGGACAAAACTTTTTGGATGACAAATAGAACACCTCAAAACACCCGAGTACTTTCTTTATACCAGCTTCTATTCTTTCTTTTTCCCCTAGATAATCTGTCATGCCCTAAATTAACCTATTTCATTCTAAGAGAAAGTCCTATGCTACATGCCTTAAAATTACATATATTTATATCTATACATATGCATATATATGTAAACACACACCAATATATATTTTTTTAATTAAAAAAAATCCTGAGATCCTTCTCCTCCTCCTCTCAATTCCATTCCTCTGCCTAGGAAGACAGTTCCAGATAGAATGGACTTTCATTTCTTTGTAGCCAAGTCCAAATAAAATGGCTTTCTATTCTATACAATAAGAGCTGGGCACCTCTGCTTTCGTGACTGCACAAATAGAAGATTTGGATTGTGGGGAAAAAAATAATAATACTGTATATGGAATGAGGAAATGTGAGAACTTCATATTCTAAATAGAATTCTTTAAGTAGAAAAAAATCCACAGCAATTTTTTCGGTCCATTTTACTCTCTTATTTCCCTTCTCTAGATAAGACACAGCTGAATTCCTCTAGGCAGCAAAATCACCGCCTGTGTGATTTGGCTGGGAGTCAATCTGAGATGAGCTCAAAGCCAGCCACAACCTCCAAACCCATCCTTGTCTGAGGATGTTGTGAATACATTTTCAGATGTCTTCTTAGTGTCTGTGCCGGTTAATCCTCAGAGTAACACTGTCCTGGCAAAGCTTCAGGCAGCTTTCTGCAGGTTTTACCCCTGGACTATGCACAACAAAAAAGCCAACAGGTTGTTTTTGTTGTCTCTGCTACACTCCTGGAGGTCTGAAGGGAGCAAAGAGCTGGGAGTGTTAGTAGCCTTTTCTCCATGCACGTCTGTCATCATCATAATCAGCCCCATTTATAGCGTTCCTATTATGGGCAAGACACCGTGCTAGGTGCTTTACAGACATTAATGCTAATGATCCCAATAACCCTTCAAAGTAAATATTAATGTTGTTCTCCACATTTATAATATGAGGAATTTGAGAGTAATAAACATTAAATGATTTATGAAGGGTACTCAATTTATAACTGACATAGATAGTGTTCAGACCAGATATATTTGCCTCCCTAGCCTAAGCCAAACACTGGTTGTCTACTTTATAAACTAATTCTCATAAACTTCTTCAATGAACTATGCAAAGTGCCAACCACCCAAGCAACAACAGAGTTAGTGGCTGCTAACTGTAATTAATTTTTTTGTTACCCGCTTTAGAGAAAGACTGTTATTTATAGGATAGCACAAAATTCCAGGGTTCTTGACACTCATACACACTGTCTATAATTAGAGGTACAGAAATGTATTTCTAGGCTTGATATAATAATAGTGCCCGTGGAATCCTTTTGAGAGTCATTACAAAGTAATCTGGGGGGAAACATAGTTGGATGGGTAGATGAAAGCATGTTCCTAACTCAACCATCCACATGTAGATTTGAGTGATTCAGTTATGAGCTCAGAAATTGGTCCCACCAAAAGGAAAGACATACTGGTGCAAAGAATAATAACCAGCAGTTAAACTCCATTTTGACACCTGAAACAAGCAAGCATAGTCCTACTAAATGAAACTACAGAATTGGGATCACAGAATCAGAGCTGCAAGGGCCCCCGAAGGTCATTTACTATTTCCAGTACAGCGGAGTAGCCTATTTATTAATCATTTCATCAGCTTTTCAGCCAACTTGAATTGTCCTAACATTTTTAAAACTCCAAAACTTAATTTATATTGACGCTTTTTTATTTTAAAGTGTTTAGGCTTGTCCATTTTTCTTTCTTAAGTGAAAATGTTGGATTCCTCCTTAGTAGAGTTGCTCCTATTCTCACGATGGGGACCTAAACTTTCCAGAACTCCTGTTTTCTATACTTCTCAGGGAGAAGAACTTATAATAATCGTAAGTTCAGGATACTGAATGTGATGTGGAAAAACTTTACTTACTCATCAAGTAAAGTAAAAAACTTTACTTATTCACCTATATTTGCTCTTTGATACAATCACGTTCAATTCATATTAGTTCTTTATAGACAGACGTTTTAAACATTTGAGTGAAAAAAAAATCATCCTGTTTGAAAGGAGGTTGTAAGTTTGGACCAAACTGAAGTCATTTCCAACACCTATTCATGTCCATAACGAGATTTCGGTGCTTTTTTCCTCAGCTCCATTCAGACATGGACAGGGGAGACGGATCCATCAAATACATCCTCTCCGGAGAAGGCGCAGGTGTTGTGTTTACCATCGATGACACCACTGGAGACATCCACGCCATTCAGAGGCTCGACAGAGAGGAAAGGGCCCAGTACACTTTAAGGGCTCAAGCCCTAGACAGGAGGACAGGCAGGCCAATGGAGCCCGAGTCAGAGTTCATCATCAAAATCCAAGACATCAATGACAATGAGCCCAAGTTCCTGGATGGACCTTATGTCGCCACTGTGCCAGAAATGTCACCAGTGGGTAAGGTGGAGATTCACTGATTCTCACAAACAGCACTTGCTCTACAGAAGATCCTCCTGTACATATGCAGAGAAGGAATGTGCAGAACAGCTCACAAATCATAAAAAAACAAAAATGACAACCAAGTCCTTAGTCAGGCAGGAAGCTACTTAGACATTGGAATCAGCCATAGTAAACAATAATAGTAATAATAAGCCTAGTATGGTTATTCAGTACTGATTCTTAAAAGCAAAACAAAAGATAGATGATAGATAGATGATCTATCGCTCATGTTTGAGTCATAAAGGAGAAGCATTTTAGTATGATCCAAAGAGCAATGAAAAGCCCAAAGGCTGTGTTGTCTTTACTGGTTATTAAGAATTTAAAACACAAATAACTGCCGTCCCCACTAAAGAGGTACAAGATAGTTGTTATGGAAGTTTGACCTAGAAGGGGGACCCTCCCAAGGAAGCAAACATAACATCTGCAAATGCTTTAAGACTGCCCATTCAGGATTGCATCCAGCCTGTAGCAATTCAACTTGAACAGGCTTCCACCTTCTCTCTTCCTCAGGGACCTCTGTTATCCAGGTGACAGCCACAGATGCTGATGATCCAACCTACGGCAACAGTGCTCGGGTAGTGTACAGCATTCTCCAGGGCCAACCATATTTTTCTGTGGACTCCAAAACAGGTATTTGATGCAGCAGTTGAGTCAGAGGTGTTTGCTTTATTCCTTAATAATTTTTAACCACTACTTATGACAGACCCAACTCTCCTTTTCAAGGACTCTCCAGGGAGAGTATTAACCAGAGAAGATTGTCATAGCTTTAGGATTTAGAGAGAAAACCAGCACTGCCCCGGTGGGCAAGAGCAGCACCATGTATAGACAGACAGTGTACAAGTCTGACTGGAGAGGCCGGAAGGCCTGCCTCCATGAAAGTACCCCCTTACTAGCCTTCAAAATGTCCTAGGACTGCATTTATTCCCAGGGATTAAGGTCTTTTATCACTCCAAGAAGACCTGAGAAGATTGACACATTAACCTGGACTCACTACAGAACTAGAATCATTGATTTTAAAACTAGAAAGAGCCTTAGGGGAGTCATCCAGTCCATCACTATTCACTTAACGGATAAGGAAATTGGGAATTGAGACCTAACAAGTGCATCTAGTTGTGGATAAGTCCCCCGACATGTGGTCTGATGTTCTTTTCACTGAACCACCCTGTACTAAGCAGAGAACAAGGTCAGAATGAATGGTGCCAGGACAGACAGGTTTTGATGAGGGAGGAAAGAGCATAGAGCATGGGATGTGGCTCCCAAACAGACAGGTGCTGAGTGGGAGGCTCTAACAGGGAGGAGAGCATAGAGAACCAGATGGGTAAGGAGCAATGTGGCAGAAAAGGGCAAACCAACAGAAGTTTGGTTTTGGTTTTTTGTTTGTTTTGTTTTGTTTCAGTTTTACTAGCAAGCTTTGACTACAGTATCTGTATGTTTTATCTATGAAGGCGTCCCTTTAATACTTTTGGGTTGGGCAGAGTAACATCTTTATGATCTTGCATTGTGCCAGGCTTTCTCCCTTTGCATAAACATTACCATATTTGAGCCTGCCAATTATCTTGTGAACTCATGAAATATATGGAAGTAGTTATTCCCATTTTACATACAGGAAAACTGAGCATCTACGAGTAATTAATGAAGAACTTGAGTAAAGAAATATACAGGCACAGAGGCAGAGTCAATGGTGAACACTCAAAGTCATCTCTTTATTTGAAAGAGGAAAAATACATTTCTTATTATCAACCTAATAGAATTTTTTTTCCAGAAGTCCTAAGGGGAACCAGGCATTCAGAAAATTATATCATAAAAGTAGAAAGTGAGGGAGTGCAAATTAGTACGAGGAAAGAAAAAAGATTGCAGTTAGGGACTTCTATAAAACAGTAACTGACAATTCTACAAATGGGGAGAGGGAGAGTGAGGGGGTGCCCACGGGGAGGAAAAATATAGACAGGAAGAGGGCAACGTGTCCTTTATAGCTTCAGAGGAAACTTACATTATTTTGACATCTCCCAGGGGGCATCTTTAGTGTTAAGGTCAAAAATACACGAAAAGATAGTTATTGCTGTGTCCATGGGGCATTTAAAAAAAGAAAATGCTGCATATTTCACTTTAGAATGTTGTTACTACATCGTAATATATACATTATAGGAGTAAACTGGGGACAGCTTTGTGGCTCCCAATCCCTTCCCTTTGTGTGCAAAAGGTCTATTTAGCCAAGAGTTATGTTGTAAACTTGCAGTAAACAAGCATTTAATCTTTGCCTAGAGTGTACAGAAGTCAACTTTTCTAAGTGGAAGGGTTAAAAGGGAGATAAAACATTACTGCACATCCTTGGCAGGATCAAAACAACACATTTCACTGGATTTTGATTTAGACCCCTCTTCTTAAATGAAACCGTATCAGCACACTACGATGGTGCTACTTATTGTCTGGGGAAGTTCATCCCTTATCATCTTAAAAATAAACAACTCACAGAGCATCTTTCATGTCCTAGCTCAAGGAATTCAGTGAAACACAGAGGTAAGCAGAACATAACAAAATAGAATGAATATATAACAAAAGGAAAATCAAATCAGAATTCAACCCTGCTAACAGTTATTGGAGAGGCTGGAAAAAGTAGAATAGGAGTGAGTTGCCTAAAGAAGACTCATTCGCTCCACAAGGGCTCTAGCAGCTGAAGAAAGAAAGAGCTGAAGGAGAATTATCTAAAATCATAGGTTTGCAGACATACGAGACTTTGTTTTCTGGACCCGAAGCCCCAGCTTTGGTGAGACAGAGCAGCCTGAAATTGCCTGTAACTGCAATTCCCCGTCTGTTCGAGAACCATTGCTGCCACCTCCTGTTCTCTCTTGGTAATGTTGCCAGAGGAAACGGGCCCTCTAATAGTATTTATTCACCGTTTGTTTAGGCACCGCACTTTTTTGAAGCTGCAATTCTGACCTCAAGTTTAATAAAACACAGGTGATTTGCATCTCAACTCTAGACATTAACAATGCACAAGGGAGAAACCTAGAAACCAATCTTAAGAACTGGACTTGTGGTTTTGTTTTTAAAAACCAAGTCGTTTCTATCCTGCAGGTGTAATTAGGACAGCACTCATGAACATGGACCGAGAAGCCAAAGAATACTATGAAGTGATTATCCAAGCCAAGGACATGGGAGGGCAGCTTGGAGGATTAGCTGGGACCACAACGGTCAACATCACCCTCTCGGATGTCAATGATAACCCACCCCGCTTTCCCCAGAGTGAGTACCTAACCAATCAGAGTGCAGATCGCAGGCCAGAGGGACACACCTGTTACAGAGGTGAAAGAGAAAGACCAGTCTGAGTTTCTCTCTAAGTTCAATTATTCCTGGCTTCCTTTCCTACATTTATCATGCAATTCTCACATAACCACTTCCCTCCTGGGTCTCAACTTCCTACAGCGCTAAACCAGTTTCTCGCTTTTTTCGTTATTGCCTCCCTATTGGGCCCTTTTAGACATTTTTTCTCTTGATCACCATGCCCTGCACCTCCCATAAAATTAAATACTAAGGAATAAGATTTTGTTAGGTAGGGTTGAACTTTAGAAAGCCACAAACCATTGTGACATCTAAGATTTTTTTCACCTCTACCAATCAATTCACAAGCAGGTACGAAGCACCTGCTTTGTAAGGGCACCAGGCATGAGGGACTCAAGACTCTTGAAACCCAGTCCCTGCCCCTGTGAAGCTTATAACCCACTTGAGGATTTCATGTTCTATATTCATCAAAAGTTAATCAAGAAGCAGCATTTGCTGTACTGCTTGGTTAGTGCAGAATGAAGCCTTCATACTAAGATGAATGAAGGCTTCAGAGAAGGATGAGACTTCAACACAGGACTGAAGAAAATAAAGGATTTAAATAGGCAGAAAGGAAAACATTCCAGAAGGGGGAAGCCATTCATTTGTTCAAAAAATATTTGTTTCGGGTACCATTCTAGGTACGGGATATAGAGCAACATACAAAACAAACAAAATCTCTGCTCTCCTAGAGCTCATTTGAGTAGAAACCTGAATGTAAGAAAAAATCATATATATGAAGACCTGGAAATAAAGTTGCAAATGTAATTTTATGTTCAAAGACCCCTAAAATGGAGACCTGCTCTTTAGTGTTTCAAATGTGTTATATTTCTAATGGAAGTTATTGATAAGTTTTTGAGCAAGAGAGAAACATAAAGGCTAATATGTACAGGATGGGTTGGCAGGGGTGAGGACTAGAAGCAGGGGAGTTTGTTAGGAGGCATTTAAAGGGGTCCAGATTTTAAGTGATAAGGACCTAAGGAGGTGGCAGAAGGAGTGGAGTGGGACAAATAAGAAAACATGGATTTCCGCCTCTTGATTTCTTGGCTAAGGCAACCAAGGCAGAGGGTGGAGTCACGATGACAACAACGTTTATAGTCTGGGCAACAGGGAGAAGAACAGAAATAGAAGATGCCTAGTGGAACTAGGGGCAGGGAAGGAGGAAGACAAATTCAGATTTGAATATGAAGTGACAGCAGGACAATCAGATTGAATGTCCCTTAGGAAGGTGGAAATATAGAGCTATGACTGTGGAATGGAGCCCAGGAATGGAGACGTGAATTGGATAAGCAGACGCCTAAATGGAGCAGTTGGAGAAGCGAGAGTAGCAGACACAATTCCAGGTGAAAGACTTAACCAGGGAAATCAGGTTAAAAAAAAAAAACTAAACTAAAAACAGAGAGTCAAGGGTCCGGCCAGGTGGTGTAGTGGTTATGTTTGCGTGCTCTGCTTCGGCAGCCCGGGGTTCGCAGGTTTGGTTCTCAGGTGCGGACTGACACACCTCTTGCCAAGCCATGCTGTGGCAGCATCCCATATAAAGTAGAGGAAGATGGGCACGGATGTTAGCCCGGGGCCAATCTTCCTCAGCAAAAAGAGGAGGATTGGCAACAGACGTTAGCTCAGGGCTGATCTTCACAAAAAAAAAAAAACAAAAACAAAGAGTCAAGCCAAACTATTGGCTGAATAGCTACATTTTGAGTCAGCCAGACCAAGTGAGCCATCTATTTTATCTATGTAAATATAGGAAGAGAGCTCAAAATATTACCTGCAACTGATATACCCAAAGTCCCCATGAGATTTCATGAATCAAAAAGGCAGGATACTAGATAAGTATTTCACAAGTGGTGCAAGCAAGTAAGTTACTAAGTTGATTGGTTCTACAGTACAGAATAGTTAGTGCATCATGGAACAGTTTGTGAAATGTCATATGGATTGGTTTCTTATTGCTTTGCTGACCCTGTGGGTTCCATCTTGATTACTTCATGAATGCCTCACATTGTGCACGCTGTAGACTCTAGATTCTTGAACATCCTACCTTGGATAAACTCTTCTGCATTACTAATCTTCTGATTCCTCATTCTAGAATTCCATCTTCCTTCTTTTTTACAAATATTACCATAACTGATGATGGAGTGTTGACAAAATGACATACCTACTATTTTATATTGAACAAGCTCAGTCACCTTTAATTGAACCAAGTATAATGGAATATCCAGATCTCAGGCTATTTATTTCTAACATAACACATCATGTGTAGAAATTTTATGTATATGTTTGTTTAAACACACAACACATAGCTTTCCTGGTGTGGAGAAAATTGCAGGCAGATACTTGTTTTTCCCAAAAGTTCTGTAATAGCAATGTCTAATTCATCAACAACTTTGAAAGTGAATGGGGAGATCTGAAATCCAAGTGCCTGCCAGCCTACTGCAGACATTAGCAATTTCCTGGCTCATATTTGCAACGAACAGGCATTATTTCTTCTCCTGTGTGAGAGAGGGTGCTGTGAGCTGGCTGGGTGCTGTCAGCCTCCCCAGATCTTTGTGAAATTTGAACCCTCATATCCCAGGCTTCCCTGTAGCTTGCAATGCATATTAGAATAAAAGAGATCATGTACACATTGAAAATGTGATTGTGTGATTTTATTTAGTCAGTTACATTATGATTAACAAAATAATGAAGGCTGTCAAAAAGTTGAGCCCCAGAGAAGGTAAGTTAGTGAAGATACAACTCTGTGGAGATGAAAATGAACTAAATTTAATTGTGAATTCAGGATATCAAGTTGAAAAGAAGAACATTACCAGCTCTGAGCTTCTTACATATGTGAGAACTTTTGCGGTGTTCTATTCTGGAACAAGAAGAAGCATCAGAAGTCCGTCTATGAAGAGGCCACCAGTGGGCAGAACCAGGTGCAAGGATACGTCGATGGACAACACATGGAGCTGGCAGAGCTTGCTCTCTGTGGCTGTTCCTCCTCTATAGATCACTGGTCGCCATTCACTTTGGGCAGGTGGTCATAGAGATGGACACTCAGTACACTGACCAGATCACCACAAAGGAAAATGAGGGCATTTGAAATGTGAATAGAATAAATATGTACTTTGTGACCACAATGTTTGTCTAGCTTCCTCAGAAGTAACATTTGGGGAAATAGTTCATTTGGGGAAATAGTTCATTAGGAAGGACTGAAAGATTGGAAAGCAAGGTACTTCCTACCACTCTGAAGGTAGATTAACTGAGATAAATATTTTTGCTTTCGTCCTGTCCTACTCTTAGGATTATGATCAAGCTAGTTTGGCCCCTCCTTATCAAACACCCAGTACAGACTATGACCTAATACCATTTGCTCAGCTTCTTCGGATCTCACTTATTCATCTGTAAAACTCAAGTTTTAATTGTTGAACCAAGAGAAAGATGTTTTGCCCAGCATGCCTGATATGATGAGATAATGACGAGGCATTTTTTATAGTGACAGATTACAAAAATGAGTGTTCTGACCTTTCTTCACAGAACATTATCAGATGAGTGTGTTGGAATCGGCTCCAGTTAGCTCCACCGTGGGGAGAGTGTTTGCCAAGGACTTGGATGAAGGAATCAATGCAGAGATGAAGTATACTATTGTGGATGGAGATGGCGCAGATACCTTTGACATTAACACAGATCCCAATTTCCAAGTTGGCATCATAACTGTGAAGAAGGTAATCCAACTCCTTTTTCCAAATCATTTCAAAGGATGCTTTGAATGCACATGAGGAGTTAGTAAGGGCTATTGTACTATTGATATGTATTGCTTCAAATCCTCTGATAAACACTCTTTCCTATTATTAAGAAAAAAAAATCTCTTACTCCTTTTGCTTACATGTAAACACTGGCTGTGTCATTGTTTTACAGAAAGGGCACCAGGTCATGATAAAGATATATTATAAATATGTCATTTCTCCTAGCTCACTACTTAGCCACTTAAAAAACTGCTCTAAGCCACTTAAAAAACTGCTCTAAGCCACTTAAAAAACTGCTATAGCTTAATTCCCTAATGATGGTAATGACCTAATCAATATTTGCACTTGAATAAAACTCATTCTTTATCATAGTACACCATAAATAACAATAAAGAAAACTATAATATTATTTATGAATCAATAAAAACATGCAGGGATTTTTTTAATTGCTACTCGAAGATCCACAGATGCTAATTAGACTTGAAAAAACTTTATCAAACATAGCTGCTGAGGGATGTTATCACTTGAAACTCTTTGGCTTCATGATAAGTTACCAAGTTTTCTGAATATAAGCTATTGATTCTATGGCATAAAGCATATATGGATATATCAGCTGGAATATAAAACTTAAAAATTGAAGTTTTAACATTCTAATAAATATATATCTGATGAAATACATTAATTCAAAAACTCATTGATTTAATCTTCCGTCTCCTCCATTTTCAATACATTTTAAAACCCCAGATATCTTAAATTATTTGACCAACAAATATTTGTTTGATGCCTACCTACATGCCGGGTACTGTTCTAGGAATTTAATGTGGAAAGTAAATAAAACAACGAAAAATCTCTGTCCTCGTGGGGCTTACATTCTAGTGAGAGGAAGAAGACAATCAAAATAGCAAGTGGATAGAGTAGTATATTAGAAGGTGATAAGTGCTATGGGGGGATGGATAAAATAGAACAAAAGTGAAATCAGAAGAGCCAACATGACTTCAAATTTAAATTAGGTGATTGGGATTGGCCTCACAGAGAACAACATTTATGCAAAGACTTGAAGGGGGCAGAGTCACAGCATAGAGTTGGGCAGGTTGACAATATACAACCTTGGGAGGTGCCCTATACATGACTTTCAGTGAGAACTGTACATGGCAGCCCTGGAGATGAGGGAGTGGGCATGGAGATATTGAAGAAAATGTTCCAGGCAAAGGGACAGCCAGTGCAAAGGCCCTGAGGTGGGACTCCTCAGGAGTCCCTGAGGAGTAAGGAGGTTTATAAGGCTGAGTGGAGGGGGAGACTAGTAGGAGGGTAGCTCAGAAAAGTAACAAGGGGGCCAGATTGTGTAGGACCTTGTAGGCTGATGTAAGGACTTTGGGTTTTACTCTGAGTAAAGTGGGGAACAACTGGAGGACTTCAACAGATGTGTGACATGACTGGACTTCCATTATAAAATAATTACTTTGTAAGCTGTGCTGAGAAAAGACCATAACGGGGCAAGGATGGGAACAGGGGAGACCAGCTGAGAGGCTATTGTGATAATCCAGGTAAGAGATGATGGGGACTTGGTCTAGGGTGGTGGGAATGGAAGTGGTGAGAAGCGGTCAGAATCTGGATATATTTTGAAAGTAGAGCCAATAGGATTTCTTAGCAGATTGAATAAGAATACAAAAGAAAGAAAGGAGTCAACTGAGCAACAAGAATAGAGTTGCCATTAACTAAGATGGGGAAGTCTGCAAGTAGAGCAGGTGGCAGGAGGTGGCAAATATTGGGATTCAATTCTGGACATGGTATGTTTGCAGCGTCTACCAGACACCCAAATGGAGATGTGTAGTAGATGGTTATAGGAGTCTGGAGTCTGGAGAAGAGTTCTGGGCTGGAAATATAAATGTGGGAGTCATAAACATATAGATGGTACTTAAAGAAAATAAAACAGAATGATATTCCAAGAGACTAAGCATAGAAGGAGAAGAGGTCAGTGAAATGAGCCTTGCAGCACCCCAACGTGAAGAGGTCAGGGAGAAGGGCAAGGACAAGCAAGGAGACTGACAAGGAGAGACCAGGGAGGCAGGAGGAAAATCACGGGAGTGTGGTGTCCTGGAAGGCATGAAGAAGCTGTTTCCAAGAGAAGGGAATGATCACCTGTGACAAATGCTGCTGAACGTCATATAAGAACATTGAAAATTAACCAGATACTTTAGGAACATGGAGGTCACTGATGACGTTGACAAAAGCAACAAAGTCATAACTTAGAATGTGGCACATGGAATAACTTTATTCCATGCTTTGCCATAGAGTTGAATTAACACTGCTTTAGAAGAGAAGAGAAGAGTTCACACGTTTGTCCTATGTTTACTTAAGGTGCAATCAAATACAGTAAAAGAACAGATATATCCAGCATTCCACCAACCAGAAATCTTTATGAACGGCACACAATGACCTCCAAATAGTGCAAAAAGCTGAGTTTAACTTTGGAATTATCACTTAAATCTGGACGTAATTTAAATATTGCAGTTTCTTATTTTATTCTCATTCTCTAAGAATTAATAACACATGCTAGAATTATAAGAGGTGACTAGTAATAATAATATCAATTTGGTATATCACATAGGTTTAAGAACATTACCCTGTTATATGGCATGCCTCAACTTAACAATTAATAATACATTGCTTACCATGACTGGTAACTGTAAACAAGGTAAAAACTCAAAGTTTTGGATAATTGTTTCTTTAATGAAAATATTCTCTTTAAAAAGTTAAGCAATCAGAAAAAGAGCTTTTGAGAGTCTCAATATACTTTAAATTTTATTTTGTATCTTAAAATAATATATAAAGTAATTCTAAATAATATAATAACATTAATTTATCAAATTATTAGAATATAGCTTAGGCCTTATTACAAGCCATTCATTTAAAAAATTATTACAATTTCGTATCTGAAAGGAATCTCAAAACGTCTTTTATCCAGCTCCCTTACCTAGAGAAAAGATTAAACCTCATAAGACAGAACACTCTTTCATTGTCATTACTAAAACTATATCCATGTTTAATCAAAACATATATCCATTTTTCCAAGGTCATTTGGATTTCTCTTCTGAACTTATGAGGTGCCAGAAAATGGAATTAAGAAAGAGGTTAATAAGTTGGGTAGATGGACAAGTCAAATATAATAAATACTTCAGAAGCTATCGACTGCTCAATCCATACCTTTGAAACAACATTCACTCAGATGCCTGATCTCCACCCATCTTCCTACTTTCTCATTAATAATGTCATATAAAATTGAAACAAAAGTTCTGCATTTGATTTATTTCCCTAAGGCCTATTATCTGTCTAAAAAGCACATACTTTTTCAAAAAGAGAAATTAAGTTGAACTGATAGAATTGGGTCTTCATAAAATCACACTGATTACTACCCAGTACCTTGGGTCTTTTTGGCTTTTAAGTAATCAATCAATTGATTTTTCAGTCTCTTAACTTAAATGCTTGAAAGATAACTTGAAATATATAATTTTCAGAATGTTCTTTATTCTATATGAGCATGATGTTATGCCATTCTCCAGTCTGAAGAATGTCTTCATCTTCCATCTTCCAGCATACAAGAAGCAATTGTTTTGAGTCCATTCTCCTCTTAGGCAGGCCACAAAAATCAAAACTTCCGTATTTCATCAAATCTAAGATGTCATGAATTGTAAACTCCATCATTGTTTTATATACCACTTTTAAAAAAAAATCTTGCCAATTTAGATGATACAATGCTTTCTTATTCCTTAATTTATAGCTATTGAAAAAGTTCTTGTAGGCACAGACATATTTACTCCACTAATATCAGATTTACTCCCTGCTGTTGTTTCCATGCCATTCTGTCTACACAACAACTTTTGTTTCAAGGTTGAATCATAATACAATCTTTTTGAAGTTATTTTAGGAGGCAATAAAGCTATACACATGTACTGCCAACAATGTGCAGAACTCAAGTGAAGTACAACATGTAGAGCTTTGACTAGGTCCGGCTTGCAGAAACAGTGACAACTACATCCTATCTCCTGTTGGGCCTACAGCAGTTGTACGGTGCCATCAATTGGAGAAACAACCCTATTTCCAAAATGTCAAAATAAGAAAAAATGTACATCTTAGAATCATTGATATACGGTAACATAAAATCTGTATATATTATCACTCAACCAGTACTTGTTAATACTCAGATTGAAAAAGTTTTTTGCACTATTCAATGCAACATTTTTTTGCTGCTTTTTTAGGTTTTAGGCCCTCACTAGGCACTGGGGCCAGATAAAAATCTGACTAAGTCATAGCCTTTGCCCTCGAGTCTGGTGAAAGGGACCAACATAGAAAGAAATATTTGTAATACAAAATAAGAAGAGCCATAATGGAAGAATGACAAAGTGCTATGGGAATAGAGGGGGGAATAATTAATTCTGCTTAGGGAGCTACATTATTATTTGTGCCACAATTTTTATGACTCAATTTTCAAGGATATAATGGCTTTCCATTTTTGTGTGCACCAACTCTAGGAAATTTTTTTTTTTTTTAATTTTATTTATTTGTTTTTTTCCCCCAAAGCCCCAGTAGATAGTTGTATGTCATAGCTGCACATCCTTCTAGCTGCTGTATGTGGGACACGGCCCCAGCATGGCCGGAGAAGCAGTGCATCTGTGCGCACCCGGGATCCGAACCCGGGCCGCCAGCAGCGGAGCGCGTGCACTTAACCGCTAAGCCACGGGGCCGGCCCTACTCTAGGAAATTTTTTGAATTTGGAACTTGAGTTCTCAGACATTACTACTCTTTGATTTACTATTATAAATATGGAAATAAGCAATTCTTTGATGTTAAAAAAATAAGTACAAAACTTTTCAAGAGAGAAAAGTTAAACATATATCAATTGCGGGCAATTTAAAGCTTAGGGTATTTAGGGCGATGTTTTCTTTCAATCTTAAATAACAAAACTATTTAAGTGAGGGAGACAATAATCTTAAATAATGTAATCACTAGGTAACATTTAAAAGAAATTTTAACAATAATTAAAAACTCGCTCTAGTCTCTTCACCAGATGGTGCTAAAACAATTGGATATCCATATGCCAGAAAAAGAATCTTGATTCATACCTCACAGAAATAAACTCCAAATGGATAATATACGTAAATGTAAAAAACTAAAACTATAAAATTTCTAGAAGGAAACACAGGAGAAAATCTTTGTGACCCTGATTAGGCAAAGATTTCTTACATATGACACTAAAATCCCAATCTACAAAAGAAAAAGTGATAAATAAGACTTCATCAAAATCAAGAGTTTCTTCTCTTGAAAAGTCACTGTTAAGAGAATGAAAAGACAAATCACACATTGGGAGAAAATATTTGCAAGTCACATGTCTGATAAAGGATTTGAATTCAGAATACATAAAGAACTCTTCAAGAAGACATATAAAGATATACAGACACATATAGTGATGTTCACTATCATTAGGCATTAGGGAAATACAAATCAAAACCACAATGAGATACTACTTCATACCCACTAGGATGGCTAAAATCAGAAAAACTAACAAAACGAAATAATGACAAGCATGTGGAGCAACTAGAACTTTCATACATTCCTGGTGGGGATGCAAAATGGTACAGCCACTTTGAAAATTGGTTTGGAAGTTTCTTATAAAGTTAAAAATATACTTACCATACGATCCTGCAATCCCACTCCTAGGTATTCACCCAAGTGAAATGAAAACCTATGTTCACACAAAAACCTATATGCAAATATTCATAGTGGCTTTATTCATAACTCTCAGAAGTTGGAAACAACTCAATTGTACCTCTAGTGGAAAATGGATAAATAAACTGTGGTACATTCATATAATGGAATATTACATGGCAACTGAAAGGGAGAAACTACTCATTCACACAACAACATGGATGAATCTCAAATGCATCATGCTAAGTGAAAGCAACTAGACTCCAAAGACTACATACTGAATGACTGCATTTATATGACATTTTTGCAATAGAGATAGAACCATAGATCAGTGGTTGCCAAGGGGAGAGGAGTTGATCACAAAGGGGCACAGTGCAGGGGGTAATGGGGGTGATGGAACCATTCTATATCTTGATTATCATGGTGGACACACGGCTGTATACATTTGTCAAAACCTAAAAAACTTTACACTAAAAAAGATGAATTTTAATGTATGTAAGTTACACCTTAATTTAAAAAAATGAGTACCAAAAATCACACCAGATTAGAAAAATGACTTCAAATTAAGGAAAAAACAAATTTGTCTAGCTCAAACCTAACATAAACAATAGTTTCCACTTTGAGTTACGCATATTTAAGGAAAAAATTTTAAGAGAATATAATGTAATTTACCAGGAAAGATAAATGTCTAGATTTAGAGAACAAGTATAAATAAAATAAACTGGTAAAACTATTCCTTCAAATATATCATAATCTGAGCAGCAGATTTCCCTGTTAATGAAAACCTTGCCTTTTGACGAAGAACTAGTGAGGCAGGCAGCCTGGTGGAAATGGCTGCTTGGTTTAAACGGGGATGGTTGACTCCATGAAAAAAGTACAACGTGTGGCACTAAGTAAATGCAGAACAAGTAGTAACCAAACAACAGCAACAGAACAAACAAAAATTATTTTTATTAGCATTTGCAAATAAATTTAGTTAAAGCAACTCTTACTGCTGTTTGTTTCTCAAAAGCAAAGCAATTGCTCTCTTTATAACATAAAATGTGCTTATATTCAGCATATTTTATGAAAAAAAGCACAAGTGAATATTTAGCTAGAGAAATTGGTCATGGCCAAATTGACATGTGACTTTTAAGCTTTAGTAACTGCTTTGCCATCCACTGTAATTATTTTATAGGAATGACTTTCCATGATGTTTTTTATTATTGATGCTGTTTTGAGGTAACTGTTGCTTAAAACATTTAAACATTTTTGTCAGTTTAAAAAAAACATAATGGATTACTCCGAAGAGATAGCATTCAAGTTCACTTTCTACCCTAAAGTGTTATATTAATTTTGACATAAAACATCCTGAAGATAGGAATAGATCAAAAAAAGAAACAACTAAAAAAATTATGTTATGACATGGAATTTTACTAGACAAAGTTTTATGGATGCACCCTGAACAAGGAATTTAAAAATACAGACCAGCATTTCTACTCTGCCATTATGTAACCATGTCAGTTTAGTCCAGTCTTCTGAGCTCTCTGGGTATCAAGTTCTGTAACTGTAAAATGAGGTCTTGGATCAGGTTTTTAAAAGAGATTTTTAAAAGAGAGTGTCTATGATAAACAAAATGCACTGAATAAACTAAATATTGATCTGACACAGTTCCCTGAGAACCCTTGTGAGGTGCTTATTATAGTTTCTTGGAAAAAATCACTGTTGCATTTGTACTCAAGAATTTTTTTATTAAAGGAAGAAAACAGAAAAGCCTAGGCCTCGGTTGTATGGATATTCTGAAACAGAACTTGAACTCTCTTTTAATCATCATGACATCTTTTGAAATAAACAAGCATCTCTAAAGATAAGGTAACCATGCTGATTAAGGAGTAGACATATTCAAGTCGAGCTTGCCCAGGATACAGTGGCTTTCATAATCAGCAAATTGGCTTCCTTCACTATCTCTGATGCATCTAGCATCTTCCTTACCTTCTTTACCCAACTTGAAACTGACATTAAGACCAAGAACTATGGAACAAAGGAAAAATTCCCCTTGTTTTTCCCTTTGCCTGTTTTCCTCCATTTAATGAATTTGAGAATCTTCCCACCAGCCATCAATACTAGCCATCCTTTAAAACCTTGACATATATGCTCGTGGCTAATCAATTTTCCTGTCATTACCTTTCAGCCCCTGAGTTTTGAAAGCAAGAAAAGCTACACTTTAAAAGTGGAGGGAGCCAATCCACACCTGGAGATGCGTTTTCTGAACCTGGGCCCATTTCAGGACACAACCACAGTGCACATCAGTGTGGAAGATGTGGATGAGCCCCCTGTATTTGAACCTGGCTTTTATTTTGTGGAGGTTCCAGAGGATGTGGCGATTGGAACGACCATACAGATCATTTCTGCCAAGGACCCGGATGTGACCAACAACTCAATCAGGTTTTCCCACAGATTTCACCTTTTTCTTATATCCTGGAATCTTCCCTTCCCTGGTATCTAATTTTCTAGCACTATTTCCCTTTGCTTCTTCCATCTCTGGAGACTCTCCTCTTTCTTTAAGTTCTTCCTGTTTAAAGAACATGGGCTTGTCACATTATTTAGAAGTCAAGTATCATTATGTCTACAACTCACATTCAATTGGTTCAGCAAAACACACACACACACACACACATATACCCCCCTTAGTTCTCAATCATGGCCCTACTGACATTTGGGGCTGGATAATTCTTTGTTGTGAGGGGCTGTCCTGTGCATTGTACAATGTTTAGCAGCATCTCTCTCCTCTACCCACTAAATGTCAGTAGCACCTCCTGAGTTGTCACAACCTAAAATGTCCTCAAACATTGCCAAATGTCCCAGGACAGGGAAGGAGTAGGGGGACAAAATCATCCCCAGTTGAAAACTACCAATTCAGAAAAAGCATAGACAGACACACAGAAAACCAAACATTAAAAACTGTCAAATCTTAGTGGTGAATACAAAGGTGATCATAGCACATTCTTTCAATTTTTATGAACCTTTGACATTTTCACTTGAAAAAATGGGAAAAAAATAACATATACTATATATATTTGCATATACTTTAGAAACAACAGACATAGAAACTGCTCCTGTTGTCAGTGGCTTCAATGCCATGTAAACTGGCCAGATAGGGCTTTCTAGGGCAAGCCCACATATCAGTCTCTCCAAAGTGTGTTTTGAACTTAAAGATTCCAACCAAGATGCTTCCCCTTCAAGGGGGAGAGGAGAGCGGCTCTTACAAGCCATGGCCATTTCCCATCAACTCTGGAACCAAAGTGCAAACAGCTGGCGGACAGGTTGACACCTCAACCTTCCAGAGCAACTGCCAAGCCTCTGAAGCTTGACACAAAAGATCCGGATTCCAAGGCTGTTTGAGGCCATCTGTCACATTAATTGTTGAAAGCCACATGGTAAAATGGATCCGGGGCTTTAGTGCAGCAACACATTTTAAACACACCCCAATTTATCAAATGCCTTTTCTGTCAGTGGGCTACTTCTCTCACGTGGTGCATTTTGTATTTAATGAAAATGTGCTTTTGCAGTTTAATGATGATGGTTCTCTCCTGAGAATAACTATACTGGGGGAAATCTGCTTCCTCTGACCAATTAGCAAACATTTCACACTTTCAGGCATTAAAATGGCTAAAATGATTTTGTTTGATTCTGATATTTGATTTTTATAAGGCAACTAACCTTTCTGTTATGAATTATAACAACTTCACAACAGTGATATTTCAACCGTAAGCTTTTTAAATGTATAATAGGATGAGAAGAAGTTAGTGAAATCATTTTATCCCCAAAACAACCACAACATAAATAAAACAGATTCTATTATAAATTTATATTTTCAGAAGCCAGAATATATGTATATATCTTCTGATCAATTAATTAATCTATTCATATTAGAGAAGACACTGTGGGGAAAACTTTAGAGAATAAAAGTTTAGGAGGGAAATGTTTGAAATAAAAGAAGCATGAGCTTGAAAAAATCAGATACCATTTCTAAAACAGTCAATCAGAATACCCAGTGGATACTTCCACATCTTCTTTCCAGATTCTGACTCTGGTCTCCTACATGGTAAGCACAGGAATTATGCTCTGTTAGGAGTCACACTACTAAATGACAAGCAGAAGAGACTGAATGCAGACAGAAAATACACACACACACACACCCCTAGAGTGTATATGCAGTATTCAGGGCTAAAGTCATTATCTCAAGACATATCTAGGAATGAAAGAAATACTATCAGGCCTGGATCCATGTCTGGCAGGGAGCAAAATGAGGTACACAAAATGAAGGAATCTTGTCTGGCTAACAGAAAATGCTACTTCAGATGATGAGCCATTGAAAAGCATCAGTTGGCCAGCATGGCACAGCAGTCAGCATCAAGGAGGTACGTAATGGAATGCCTGTCTGCTCCAATAGATCCCAGTCAGGAAGGAGTCAAGAGTGAACAGGCCAGAGGCAGCGAGCAGGGTCCACTGGGCCTTATTCTGGAGCAAGACTCTACGTCCTGAGAGAGAAACAGGCAAGAACAAAGTGACAGCCACAGGCCTGGAGGTAACAAGACACACGTTCAGGCACAGCGGGCAACGCAGAATTCCACTTAGCACAGCTAGGGATAATTCTCCCTCTGCATTTTGGTTGCAAAGCAGCAGCAGAATTCATATTGCTAGATATAGGGTCCCTGGCTCTTTGTACCGTCCCACAGGAACAAAGAATTGTCCCTGGACCCAAGCAGAACATTAGGGGTCCTGGACTCTCATAGCGAAAAGCACATAAAAGTCAACTCTCTAGCTATCATTTAATAAACCCATGTGGCAATTACTTTCCTATATTATCTTTCCCCAAATTGCTCATTTTATCCTTATTTTTCCTATAAAAGTTATTTTCTTTTAAAATAATTTGCATATTTATAGCAGCTTGGCTATCTAATTTATCTTCTGCATTTTTATTACAAATAAATGAGATTTATATTCCTAAAAAGAAAATACATATTAAATCACCCAAAAATCAACATATCATTTGATGTTAAAATGTTATGGATAAAAGGCCATTTAACTTTTTTAAAAGTTTATTAGGACTTTTATAATCTCCTTTCTAGAAAGTTTATGGTGTGGTCAGGCATATAAGCTGGTCATCATGTACTAGTAAATCCCAAAACTAAGTCTCCAGATTATACACATGAAAAATACAATGTTTGGATCTCCTAAATTTTTAATAAACGCTCGGGGAATTTCTGGCAAGCAAGAAACTGAACCATTTGGCAACTGAAGTAGGCTTCTGCTGGGTGTGGAAACAGCCTGCCCTCCTGTGCCATCCTGTGTGTGTGGATTTAGTGAGCCTGCCCACGATGCCCTACCTCCAAATCGCTCCCAGATTCAGAGAATGTCCTCAGCCAAGCAGAAAAGCGGGGAGCCCAAAGCACACCAGCTACTGCTCGCTGAAGGCAGCTTTGTTTGTGTATGTTATGCCTATTCTGCCCGTAGTAGGTGAGAATATTATGGTTAGAGAAAGGAAAACCACCTACATAATTCACTAGTGTGTCCCAATTTCCTCATTTTCCATCTGTATCTACACCTTTAATTTGTTCTCCTGCCTCCTGAAAATTGGCCCAGTGTCCCATTCAGAGTAATGAATGCTATTATGGCCTCAATTCAGGCCCCATTTGGGAAACTGGGAAGGGATTCCACTCAATAGGGAGGCTTCTCTGAGGCAGGCTCGCAGTGTTTCCTCCTGGTGTCCCCAAGCAGTACTGTCATGGGTTCTGTCAGTTATTTCCATCGCTCCATCTCCCATACCATCTGTGACATTTGCTATGGCGTTGTAGGTTAGAGTGTAGAAAGCTGGTTCATCATAGGCTGCCTCTCCCCTCAGCATTATGCCTACAGCTTGGAGAGCTGCCATCAGGGTTATGGCCCCATGGGCGGAATGGTTGGCTTTTCTCACGTGTGGGGAGCAGAAAGAAAACACTGTCATGAGCCAATCAGTATTTTTTCCTAAGACAAATTCAACTCTTAAAACAGCCAGTAAACTTTAAAACTAAGTCATTATACCTAGAAAAAAAAAATTCCAGTTAATATTAAATGAACTTGGTAGGCATATTTTTTATTAAAAAGTCAACTGTTTGCTATCATAGCTTAATCTACCTTCAAGAAGAATTTTGTTTCCTTAAACAATTCCATACATTCTATGTGCAGTAAGGCAGCGTGGCTTGGTGATTAGGAGCAGGAACTGGAAACTGAACTGCCTAGGCCTGATTCCCAGCTGTGTGACCTTGGGCAAGTGACTTAACCTCTCCATGCCTCAGTTTTCTCACCTGTAAAATGGAGATGATAACAGTACATACCTCATAGGGTTACTGTGAGGATTAAATGAGTCACTATATGTAAGGTGTATAGAGCAGTGCCAGGCTACAGTAAGTATTCGTTAAATAAAGCCACAAACAGAGAGGCATTAATTTGCTTCCTTAAATTTCCCAACTCTTGGAAAGTTATAACTGAAGTGATTCCAATTTCTCTAGCCCTTAGTGGTCACCTTTCCATTTAATGCCTAATTCTCTGAACAGTCATCCTGAATCTTTGCCGGGGAAAAAAAAAAAAAACATATTTAACACAAAACATTTTACCAAATACATACACATGCATATAGTGTATATATGTATTTATATATATTTGAAACAAAAGTTTTACCATCAATATTTACCTTTACTGCATGTGATAGTCTGGCATGCACATATTCTATTCTATTTCATTTTCTTTCAACACTAGTCATAACTCACCATATTGATTTCACTAACCCGCAGTTTGAAAAACAATGCACTAAAGAAACTGCTTACTCCCATCAAAATGGCAGTGTCCCAATTTCAACAACTTTAAGGTTAAACTGCAATTGCTGGAAACTTTAAATAGAATTTTGAATCAATATATTACAGTAGTTTATGTATATGTGTGTGTGTATGTTTCAAATCTTACCCTTGCAAATTACTAGCTGTGTAACTTTATGAAAGTGATTTAACTTCTCTAAGTCTTAGTTACCTTTTCTGTTGAGATAATGCCTACCTTCTAGATGTTGTAAGAATTAAAAAAGAAGCTATAAAATGTCTGGTATTGAATAAATGGCAGCTAGTATAATTACCACCCATTACCAAGGACTACATAAGGTTCTCAAGGATAGTTCTCATATCAAAATCCCTTATGGAGGGGCCGGCCCCGTGGCTTAGCGGTTAAGTGTGCGTGCTCCGCTGCTGGCGGCCCGGGTTCGGAACCCCGGGCGCGAATCGCGGGCGCGCACCGAGGCACTGCTTCTCCGGCCATGCTGAGGCCACGTCCCACATACAGCAACTAGAAGGATGTGCAGCTATGACATACAACTATCTACTGGGGCTTTGGGGGGAAAATAAATAAATAAATAAAATCTTTAAAAAAAAAAATCCCTTATGGAGGGTTTTAAAAATATAGATGTCTGACCCTCTCTCCACACTTATTGAATCTCCCAAGATGGGGACCAGGTGAGATAACACAAAGAGTCAGATTGCCAAATCAGATTCAACAGGAATTATAGATCTTACCCAAGACCAAGGTAAATAATGACTCAAAGAATACAGACAACAGCAAAATATGAGCCAAGCATTCTTTCCTCGGGGAGGTCTGAAACTGTCAAGAGCAAGTGCTTGTAAATATCCTTCTTTCGCTGTGTAAGGATGCATACTGGTCCACACTGAACATGAAAAGCGTAAGCAACAGATGAAGCGCACTGCCTGAACAGGAGCCATTTTGGTTATGGAACATCTGCTTTTTATACCCCATTAATTACATAGCTCACATGACATCTTCCAGCAAGCTGCGCCCCATACATTCATAAACTCCAGGCTTATTTATAATTAGCAACTTACACAGACCTGGTCCACCCTGCTAAAAACATTCCATAGGTAAGGACTCTCCAGCTAGTAAATACCTTTATTGTGTTTGCCAGCAGGTCGGTCATTAGAATGTTTATAAAGGATTTGATGCAAATCTTCCTTTCCCAATAGGTGATACTAATTACAGGGATGGGAACCACTGAACTATACCTTTTACAGTTCCAATTTAGCATTTCTGAACTTATTTGAAGAAAATTTGTTTTGAACAAAGATATGTAGGGGTTGATATTCAGAGTGTCCTAAAAGCCTTAGGGCAGTTTTAAGCTTTAAATCACTGAAATTGATCTTTACACAGCTTAAAACTGCACTAATGCTTTGGCACGCTGTTTGATTTCATTTTATGAAGAGGAAACTAAAGCAGTAATAGTTTGTTGTTGGTTTTTTGTTTGGGGTTGTTTTTGTTTGTTGAGGGGAGGGGGCTTGTCTTTGGACGTCATAAGACAACAAATGAAGCCTTTCAAGTGTCCATAACTCAGAAATAGTCATGTTTCACATGGTATGCACTAGTTCTCTCATGTAATGTGCTATAGTATGTCTATCCAAATAAAATGATGTATTTAATCTGTTTCTGCAGATATTCCATTGACAGAAGCAGTGACCCTGGAAGATTCTTCTATGTTGACATTACAACAGGTGCCCTAATGACGGCAAGACCCCTTGACCGGGAAGAGTTTTCCTGGCATAATATCACTGTCCTTGCTATGGAAATGAGTAAGTTACACAATAAACTGTTCTCCATATAGTACAAAATATAGACATTGTAGAAAGTGGAAGTTTCTAGAGCTCGTTAGAAGAAGAATTATATTCTTTACAAAGAAGAAAAGGAAATTATGATTTATGCAAGTGAGTGAATGCATTTAGTTCAAATACTTCTTGTGCATCTCCTGTATACCTAATCCTGTGCTAAAGGTAAAAACAAACGAACAAAACATGCAAAAGCAGTAAAAAAATAGCATCCCTAAACCAAGGAGTTAGACTTCTATATGAGGAAAAGGGACAATTCCTGAGAAATCTAAGAGGCTTTCGATCTTTAATAAGATTGGGAATGCACAAATAGTATAAAGTATTATTATTGGATGAAAAGAAGCATTTATAACGTATCACCCACATATGATTTATAACATATCACATAGAGACATACAAGAATTTGAGACATCTTACAATAAAAGGCAGATTTATTAACATAAACTTAAAAATAGAATGGAAAGTTAATAAAAACTAGATTAACATATTTATTATAAACTTAACAAAAATTAGATTATATACAACTACATTTAATTTTTTTTGTAACACTTAGTGATGGTAAAGATTCAGGGAAATGACAGACCCTAACCTATTGGCAAAAGTATGTACAGCCATTCAGGAGGGCAATACTTTTGCCAATTTGGCAATTAATCTTTTGCATTAAGATTCTCCAAAACATTCATACTCTTTTTCTCAGGAATTCTATTTCTAATAATTATCTTAAGGAAATAATCATAGATATCAACAAAGATTTATGCACCAAAATGTCCACTGCAATGTTTAACACAGGGGGGTAAATGGGAATTACCTAAATGTCTAATAATAGGAGTTTGACTAAATAAATTATGGTACAACTACACAGTAAAACGAGACTTATCACGTAGCTATTAATACCCATGCTTTCAAAGTATATTTCAATGACACAGGATAATCTTGCCCTAAAATATTAAATTTATGAATTCAACTTTTTTATTTCACTTAACTGCAGAGTGTGTGTGTGTGTGTGTGTGTGTGTGTATAGCTCCACATTTTTTGACACATATGTAATATTACATATATCATATAATAGGTATCTCTGGTAGTAAGACTGCAGATCATACTTATCCTCATGTTTTTCTGGAATTTTCATTATTCCTTCTATAAATAAGTACCACTGTTATAATGAAAAAAAATTTTAATATGTCAGCACTTTTGGTAATCAAGCAATAGAAATATTTAGGGGAGAAAACAGTAGAGCACAGATATTTTTGAGAAGGAAAAGAAGAAAAAATGAAGCAGAAGAACCAGACATTCTGAGATTTAATAAAATTATTTATTAAGAATAATTTCTGTGTCTTACAATTTCTATTCTGTCTTCTTGGGATGATGACCAAAACAGAAAAAAACAGGAGGGGCACTACTGGGGCTGTGAAATTGTCTGTGTGTGGCAATGCCAAGCAAAAGACAGACCAAAAAGACACATTTCCCCATGAGTGACTATGAGAACTTCTCCTGCCCCAGCCTAAGATATGGATTTGGTGTGTGTTTGATCCTGTAATATCCCCTTAGTCCCTAAGCAGAAATAAACGTACAGTGTTATCTTTATTCCCATGAATAACTTGAAATCTTCTGAAATATAATTCAAAGAACTGATTATTCCACAGGAAAAAAGCCAAGGAAAAAAGCCAAGCAATGCCCCACACACGGTATGCATCCGATTAGAAACGGGCTGTTTTCAAGCCCAGAATCCAGAAGTGACCTACCTTTAATTCCAGAACCTGAAGTATGAGCCAAGTGAGAGATTCAAAACCTCTTTTTAAGATTCATTTTGTGATACCTGCCCCCTCGAGTCTCGCCCGTCGCCTCTCCTCCTGATATCACACACACTCACTGACACACACCTCGTTCCATCCACTCTTCTTACGCTCTGGCCACACTCTTAATAGGCAACACATGCATCCTACACTTGTGTTGCCATTTCCATGTACTTGATCCATTCCTTTAAAAACCAGACTGACCAGTAAATACCTATTCCAGCAAAGAGCTGCTTTCTTGCATTCCTGAACCCTCACCTTTGGTTTTCTTTGTGCTCTCTTTAGACAATCCTTCCCAAGTTGGAAGTGTTTCTGTCACAATCAAAGTCCTGGATGTGAATGACAATGCTCCAGAGTTCCCCAGATTCTATGAAGCTTTTGTCTGTGAGAACGCCAAAGCAGGGCAGGTAAGGCAGCCTGTGAGGCGTGTAACTTGGTTAACCCCCAACATATGGAAACAACGGTTACAGATAACCAAATCTACCATCAAAGACATCTAGACTCCAGAAACTAACAGTTTACAAAACCAAGTCCTCAACTCCTGTATGTCATATTGCAACAGTTTACTTGTTAAGACAACTATCTGGAGCCTCCATTACACTTTATGATCTAAAGAATGTGAATGGTGGCTTGATTCACAGGCTAGCCTGTAATAAGGTTTCTACCCACCTTGTAACTGACCTGTATATACCAATTGTAATAACATGTGCTCTGTGTCCTGGAAGTGGGGGACCATGAAGATCAAGAGAAGAAAAAAAGAGTCTCCTCTTTTCCTCAGTTTAGCACTAATTCCTGAAAATATTTGCAATAGGCACAGTTTATTTTTTTACATCTTCCCACCTCCCTTTCTTAACTTCTGGCAACAGGTACCTTATTTAAGGACTGCCTGCCCTGTTCTCAGAAACTTTGGTATCTAGAATTACCTATTCTCTCTCCTCCCTCAATTAAAACACCTATTTTCTTAGTGCTGCTCATGTCAGGTAAGTTTTGAGAGGAAAGGAATCTGAAGGAACAAATTTCTACTTATTTGAAATAACTTTAGTTCCATAATCTTCAGAGATATATTTGTATATTTTTTAAAGTCTGCTTTTAAATATAAATGAATATTTGATTGATCAAACTCCAAGTGGTATAACTGAGAAACATCCAGAACTCCACTTGGAGAGGCCATGTATTAATCCATGTGTGAAGCTATTGCCCACTCCCCATACCTCAGATCACAGGCCATCTCTCCTTCTGCTCCTGCTTTTGTAAGATGCTTTCCTCTTCTACCAATGACCCAAGACTCCCTAACGGTCCTAATTTATTTCCCCCAGAGTATATTTGGTGGTCCTGAGAATTCTGGTAGGGGAAGGCAAATGGGTCAGGATGGTTTTAATATGAAAGTTGAGTTGGGGAAGTGCATATGTATAAGGCAAGGACTCATGCTTCGGCAATGCAGGCCTGCCGGCAGTCATGCAGCTATTGCTTTTGCTTCTCTCACTCACCTGGAACATCACTTCCAGCTTCCTGCTGCACAGAGAGACGATGTCTGTACAACCAACACTTATATTAACTTCCTGAACTCATCAAAGATTGACTCAACATATCTTTGCCATTCTACTCAGTCAAAGCAAAAAGCGATTCCCATCCCCCAGGGGAAAAAAATGTGTCCTGTAGTGATTCTGATCTAAATTATCTCATCCATTGATTCTCGAAACTTGGTACAATGGTCTATAGCACTCCTAAAAAATTTTTTCAACCAGTTTAGGATAATTCTACTTCCACATCTATTGAATTTCTAGTCTAGAAAGACCTGAAATATTATGCAGCTAATAAAAGTTACAATGAAGCCTTTACAGTGTAAGAAATGATCCATGTTATTATAAGAATGGAAGTATTAAAAAACTACAGTACATGCTTGCAGTTAATTAAAATTATGTCTGCATGTGAACAAAGATTGGGAGGCAGGATGCAAAAGTAGCAATAGTTACTGTGCTAAGGTAGTTGAGTTTTGAGTGAGGGGACTTGGGCCTTTATTTTAATAATTGTTTTATATATTACATAAAATATATAAAATTTATAAATATTTAACATATATATATATAAAACAATGTACAATGAGGTTCTTCTAGTGATTTTATATTATATAAGATTATAACATGACAAATATATAATACTTGTAGTACGATGAGGCTAACTTTTAATCTATAATATCAAGAGAGTGATAAGTAGCACAGTAAATTAAACTCCCTCTCCCCCCAGCAATGAAATATTTCCTTTCTTAAATGGCTTCAGAATAGGAGAAGTTGCATTCTGACAGGTTAATAGCACTTTAACACCTCTCTTGTTTTTGAAGCACATCTCTCATTTCTACATACATCTTTTAAGGGTCTATTATACAGTTCTCTGAAGCACAATTTATCTGTGACTTAAAGTTCAGGTCATGAGCCACAAGTCTGTCATATCTGTCATCTTTAGCCCAAAATACTGAGAATGCTACCCTTTGATTTTGGCTCTGGGACGTGTTTTGAAGATTTTCAAAAGCATGCAGCTCAGTAGGTAGGTCTGATTTATAAAGAATCAGGCCTCCTTGTTTTAGACTTGTCGGACACTGCCGTCAGCTTTGTGTCTGCCAAGTCAGGATTTGTGCTTCCCTCTTAGCAAGCAGCCATGAAGGAAGCCCATGAAGAAATCAGATGACAGATTTGGTGATGGCTGAGGGCAGAATGAAACCTGCTGAGCAGAATATTGCATGGCAAGTGGGGCTGAGAAAGAAATCTGAGCTGCCAGGAGAGCAGGCCGTGGTGCTCCCTACCCAGACCCAGCGAGGCAGTGTCTTCGCTCATTCTTTAAAGTCCCATAACCAACCAGTCCTACGCCTCAGGCCCCCACTTCACCTATATAGACACGATTTCACAGGTCAGATGTTCTGAAATGACTTTTCCAACTATATTTGCCAAGTTATAAATAATCACCTATTTATAGCATTCATCAAGAAATATGTTATATACATGTTTTGGATTATCAGCAAGATGGAAAGTTCAGGATTTGTCTCAGCAGGGATGGGGCAGTAGGGTGACCTTCCTGTGTGAGCAGCACTGACACTAGGCTAGGCTGTGGGGTGAGTTCATCTTTAGTACTCTCCCAACTCCTCTCCTTTATTGCAACTCCATTCCTCCAACTTTTAGATTCAACAGAGGCCAATTGCCAGTTGGGTTTGCCAGGAGGCATACCCTGAGATGGAGTTCTGGTATAACATGTTTAATAAGGAATGCGCTTCTAACCAACACCTGTGGAAAGGAAGGACTTTTGCAGGACTGGGCAAAGGGAGAAGTGCAGCTGCGATGCAGACCCACTAACAGCCTTGGGTGATTTCACAGAGCTCTAGAACTAGAGTTTTCCCAAGTTGAGATGGGATGGCCAGGCCTTTATACTACTCATTAGTCACTGGATGTGGGTCACCCTAGAAGGATGTGGTTACCGTGGGTAGGTGACTCTCAGCAACTGAGACAATCCCTGAAGAGACTAATAGGTGAATGCTTGAGCATCGAGTCGCTCACTGAAGGGGGATCTGAGCAACAATGTGCCCACTTGCTGGAGCTTCCCCCTGTTATTTAATCTTCAGCACATTGTGAGGGTAGCATTACCACCCTTAATTTACAGATGAAGAAATAAAGACTAAGCAAGCTCACTTGGGCCCTCCAGCTGATTTTTGATATTCCGGTTTCAACCCCGGCAGAAGCACAGCCAGTTTTTAACAGCAGGAGTGTTGAGTCTACAGGGCCAGGCCCAAGAGGGGTGGAAGAAATCTGTGCTATTGGTTGGTAGAGGAGCAAACACATAGAAAGGTCATGTGTTTCATGACCTTCAACACCTTTTCTATATCTCCCCCCAGGCTGCCTGCTAATGTTTCAAATGTATATTTCACACTACTTGGTTTGTCAGCTGTTTCATGATAGTCTTCATAACCATGAGGCAACCTACTACTTTGAAAAGCATTGTGGAAAAGGCCAAGTTTTGGCCAGAGCTCAAGAAGAAGCCACCCCACCTGTTGCTCTCCTCAGCCCCAAGCTTTGCTTCTGACTCTAGTCTGTTCTACACATTCCTCCTGCGGGGCTTGTGCTCTATGCCTTGTCTAGCTCCCCTTCCTGCCAACAAAGGGTGTCTGCCCTGTGACTCATTCCCTCATATCTGTTTTCCACTAACCTGACATAGTCAATGTTGATTTATCTGCTTACTCTGCTTACTTCCCTTCTAAGTATTAGTCATTTTTAAATAGGGGTTTCTCAAAGATAGCAATTTGACCCTGAAATATTAACCCAAACCACGAGATTAAGTAGGTGAGGTGGGAGGATAAAAAATTGGGAGGCAAGCAGGATCTTGTGGCACCCCACAGTTCTTTCACTCATAATTTTCTATTTAGACTGCCCAAAAAACCGCTAGCCTCAGTGTGGGAATATGTTATGTTGATGTCTAACATCTGAGGTATTTAATAACATTCATCCTGTGCCTGTTAATGTACGTAGGTCCAAAAATAAACCAAAATTAAATCCTGAGTTTTCTCCATAATGGCATGGAGACTTTCCAGGTAAGTTTCAGGATGTCTTTGTTATATAAAATAATCTGCTATTAGATTTCAAGCTTTGGGATTTCACCGGACCCTGAAGCTTTTCCTTTTGGCTCCGACTCACCTTGATTTCACGTCCCTCCTTCAGCTGATCCAGACAGTGAGTGCAGTGGACCAAGACGACCCACGCAATGGTCAGCACTTCTACTACAGGTTGGCTCCCGAGGCTGCTAATAACCCCAACTTCACCATAAGGGACAACCAAGGTAATCAGGTGGACAGTTGACTACCGATGCTTTTCTACAGCTTGGGCTGGATACTTCTGGGTATTAGACCACGCAGTGTCAAAGGTCACCTGCTCTTTAATAGCAGGGAAGACATTCATGCTAATTCATAGTGTCTTTTAAAGTTTTGTTTCAGAACATCAAAGATAAAGAATGTCCTCTGCTGATTCTGAAAGCTTCAGTCAGTCAGTTCACAAATGTTTGAGTGCTTGCTCTGCACCACACACTGCGCGAGGCACACAAGCGAAAGCCTTCCTTCATTCCCACAGATAGCAGCCATGTTTATACGTTCTGCAACCACGGGAAGAATCTGAGAAAGATGATAGAAACTGAACTAGATAAAGACACAAACCTGAGGGAACATTTCTAAGCAAGGATCAAAGGGAGAAATGGTGAAAAGCTCCCAGAACAAAAGAGAGAAAAAGGCTAAGTAACAGAACTAGCAAAGGGCAAATACAGCATCACAAAGAGTAGTCTGGCACTGAAACAACTTTATTACTTTAGAATAATTTAGCAAGACACAGCCAGGTGGGGTTCCTATTCCAGAAAGTGCTCCCCACCACAGCTTTGCTGGAAAGGAATTCTAGACCCCTCTTCTCCAATATGCATTCAATCAGCCAAGGGATTTATAGACTTAGCACACTCTTCATAGGACACAGATGGGAAAAGAAGGGACTTTTGTTCTCTAGCCAGATGACTTTCAAAGCAAGGTCAGAACAAGTGAAAAAATAATTTGGATCTGTCAAGTGAACCCCTTCTGTCGCTAACTCTGCCACAAACTAGCCATCTGACCTTGGGGAGGTCACTACTTCTCTGGCCTGCAGTGGCTTCATTTTCATTCCAATTCTAAAATATTATCACTTTATAACCATCCAAATAAAGGAAACAAAAAGTCATGATTAGGCATGCCTGGTCTTAGTCTCAAACATTAATTATTTGAGACTTAAAGTATTAAATCCACCTCCCACGATATTCTTCTGCTATTAAAAGTTGAGAATCTCAAACCTGTGTTCTTCTAAATGGAAAGCATTCTTCCAGGTCATCCCTTTAACCTTCCACATGTAATCATAAAATCACCATGATAATTCTGGAAGGAAGGGCAATATAAACTGTAACAACAGAAACACTATTAATTAAATATCCTGAGATTTTTATTGGGTCAAATTGTAAACTATTCATTTATCTACTTCATAGGGAAACCCTCCCTGCAAAAAGTGGTTTCAGCCCCCTCAGGATGGGTTTTAAAATGGAAAGAAACCCTGGGGGAAAAAATAACACATTAGACTCTTTCTTCAAATTTTTAGCTAACTGTCACTCTATTCCTTCACTCTGGTATTTGTCAAAATCAATACAGAAACAATATGCAGCAAAATGGTGCAAATTTCTTAAAGATGACTTTAGGCACCAATACAGGGAGCCAACACCTTAAAAAGGTGGGCCACTGGAACATGATGACTATAAAAAGAAATGACTCCTCTCTTGGAAGGTCTCCCAAAATGGAAGTCAGCATATCCTCAACAGAAGAATGAACTCTCAATCTCCTCATGACAATTTATCCCACAGGTATCCTTTACTGAGGCTCATTAAAAAACTGACCAATATCCGAAAAGGTGGATCTACTGTCAAGCCCCCCAATTCCCATGCCCAAAACATGATGTCCTTTTATGAACACAACAGGGCATTTTCTCAAGTAAAGCCTTTCTTACTTTTTATCCCCAAAGCATTATAAAAAGGATTGTGTGTATAGGTAGCACTTTACAGTTTCAAACGCATTTTCCCATACTTTGTTTTATTTGATATTTATAATAATCCTATAAAGTTTTAAGGAAGTTACTAAACCCTCTGATTCTCATTATCTCATTGGACAGATAAGGAAAGACGGCAAATGGCCCAAGTTCAGAGAGTGAATAAGCACTAAGATTGGGATTGGAAGTTGGGACCTGATTTAGCCACAAAAAAAAAAAAGTTTTGTGTCACCCTGGAAACAAATACTGTCTCCAAATGGGTTACTAAAACCCTAGCTATCATAGTCAACAAAAATTTCCCAAGTGACTACTACAGTAGCCCTCCCTTATCCTTGGGGAATATGTTCCAAGACCGCCCCCCAGTGGATGCCTAAAACCATGGATAGTATCAAACCCTATGTATACTATGTTTTTTCCTATACATACATCCTATGATAAAGTTTAATATATAAATTAGGCACAGTAAGAGACTAATAACAATAACTAATAATAAAATAGAACAATTGTAACAATATACTGTAATAAAAGTTATGTGAATGTGGTCTCTCTCAAAGTTATCTTATTGTCCTGTACTCACCTTCTTCTTGTGATGATGTGAGATGATACAATGCCTATGTGATGAGATGAAGTGAGGTGAATGACATAGGCTTTGTGACATAGCGTTATTTCAGGACCACAGTCAACTGCGGGTAACTGAAACCGTGGAAAGTGAAACCACAGATAAAGGGGGACTATTGTATATGCCAGGCCCCTTCCAAGACGGCAATGCAATGCTCTGATTTTTTTATTTAATCTTAAATAATTCAGAAATCAAGAACCTTATGATGTATAGTAGGCAGGATGTAACACTTTTATGAAATTTGGCTCTGGTCAGGCTTTCTATGTATCCTGAACTAGCCTGGATTAAACCAAAAAATAAAAATAAAATATAATTGCTTAGAAAATAAATTCGTTTCTGAAAAAACAAATTAAAACTATGAAGCAGAATTAGTACTTAGCCATTAAATCTGGAAAACAGAAAAGCAGATGGGTTGTATGGTAAGTAAAAATATGAATATAATCCTCAGGTTGGCTTTCTCCACTGAGAAGGAAGTAAGAAGAAAGGGGCTTGTTACCAGAGCAGGAAGAGATTTCAATTAGCTGAAAATTTTCAACAATTAAGGTCACTACACTAAATAAGCAGTTACATAACACAATGGAAGGTGTGCATATTTGGAGTCAGAGAGACCAGAGTTCAAATCCCAGCTCTGCTACTAAATTAGTGACTTTAAACAAATTATATAATCTCTCTGGGCCTTAAATTTCTCACTGAAAAGTGTAAGATTTTCACTATCTCACCAAACTGCTGTGAAGATGAAATGAGATACTGCATGCAAAGTGTAAGTATCTGGCACATAAGCATGCAATAAACAATAGCTGCTACCATGAGAAAGCACGGGGAGGGAGAAGAGGTGGAAAAGGTAATTAAGGAATAATGTGTTAGTCAGAATAGGCTAGGTTATGCTGTGGAAACCATCACCAAAACTCAGTGGCTTAATGCAACTAAAATTAATTTCCTACTCACATAAAGCCAATCGTGGGTCTGAGTGACTGAGGACAGCTGTCCATGTGTAGCTCAGTGTCCCAGGCCGCTGGGATCTCCATCTCAAATGTTCTTTCACAATACCACACCAAGGCAAGTGAGCATGGAGAATCACACACCAGCTCTTACATGCTTCTGCCTGGAAGTGACACAAATCATTTCTGCTCATTTTTCATCATATCAAGCAAATCACATAGACATGTCCAAATTCAAGAGGGTAGAAAAGTATAATCCTTTACTATGTCCAAGAACGGGAGAACCAGAAAAACTGATATTGATATTAATGTTTACTTTAGTTAGGCTCTCAGAAATTTTTGTTAAGTTCTAGACTCTTCTCTATGAAATGTGAAACACATCTGGAGGACCTTCCATATTGATATTAGCTTTGAGAGTCATTGCTTGTATGTACTACTACATGTCTCAAACATTCCTCTGCTGCAAATGATGAGCTTTGCAAACAAATATATCTGATTTATAATTCACACCCACTCGGGGAAGCTTGAGAATATAGATTTAAAAAAGAAAAGGTCCCAAAACATGACATTAGGCAAATATAAATACACACACACACACACATCAGCTGTGTAGAAACACATCAAATAACTTTGCTAATCTCCTTTAAATATGAAGGGGAAAAAACCAGTAGTGCTGATCAGGAATGAATTTTCACCAAGTTTCTATTAACTGCTTAAACTTAGACCACCAAATAGGGAGAAATAACAGGGTGTGTCATATGATTAGGGGATTTCAAATAAGCTTCTGCTAAATGAGCAGATTCTTCAGAAAGCACAGTAGGAGTTGGTGACTGCATTTCAAACGCATAAAAGAAAACAGCAAAAGACATGAATTCCAGCCAAAGTGGCAAAAATAAGCAATCTGCTACACCACGTGGGCTCCGCAGCGTTCTTTTCCTGGAGGCACAAAGCAGCGCCGGGGCCTTGGAAAGCTGCTGAGCGGGAACAAACAGGGACCACAAGTTGCCACTGATTGTTCATTTCTGTCAAGCTTTCCCAGGGACATTTCAGTTAGATCTGAAGTCTGACAGTTCGCCGTGGGCACTTCATGTCACAAAGGGGATGACAGACTCTGAAAAAGGGTTTCTCTCCTAGGCCTCAGGGTTTTGCCTAGAAGCAAGCAAAACTCTTAGTTTCTGAATCCAAATGCTGATCCAGACAAACCTGATATGGCTGTAGCTGAACGCCTCCAGGGAATGTTCCACTGGTCTTCTCTCTCCTTCCCACACTCCCTTCCTGCCCCCTTGCTTTCCTCAACCCAAGAAATTACCTCACTTGTTGGTTCTTCCATTTTCTTCTTCCTTCTCATTCTTCCTCCTCTCTTTTCAATCCTGGAACCCATCTTCTTCAGATAACACTGCCCGGATTCTAACCAGGAGGTCCGGCTTCCGGCAGCAGGAGCAGAGTGTCTTTTACCTGCCTGTCCTAATATCAGACAACGGGCAGCCAGTGCTGAGCAGCACGGGCACGCTGACTATCCAGGTGTGCAGCTGTGATGATGATGGCCACGTCCTGTCCTGCAGCCCCGAGGCCTACATGCTCCCAGTCAGTTTGAGCCGGGGCGCCCTCATCGCCATTCTGGCCTGCATCTTTGTCCTCTTAGGTGAGTAAGTGGCTCCTTTCCATTCTATGGGGTCCTGTAAGTCCTTCCTTAGATATCATTCAGTTTTCATCCTAACAGCTATTCAGAATTGGTTTTCCATACCACGCTGACTGAAAAGGTGGTAACGCTGGGAAAAAGTAAAAAATTGAAGATAGTCCCTTCCTTCAAGGCCTCTTTGGCCAGATCAAAGCACATATATTTATTAAGCACCTACTCTGGGCCAGGGCCATTCTAGGTGCTGGGGTTAATAAGACAGACATGTCCCAACCTTCAGAGAGCTTACTTCAGAACAAAGCAAGTTCATTTTGACATCGCTGAACCAAAATGACAATTTTGGACAGAATATAATGATCACCTCTCCTAACCTCTTCATTTCGGATAAGCAGTAGCTAAATCACAAAGAGGTAGTGCTGGCCCAAGGCCAAATGTCAGAGGCAGAGCCTGGCTGAAATGCGGGCAGGCCCTACGTTGTTCATTCCTATATCTGAGCCGTACAGCCCTTCTCCTAACTGTTCACCCCCAGATTCTAGAAGTGGTAGGTGTTATAGAGAAGGGAAGAGGGACAGGGTATCCCAGGAGGACAGGTGACGACGGCAGGTGCCATTTTAAATGGGGTGGTCAGGGAAGGCCTCACTGATGAGGAGACCTTTGAGCAGAGATCTGAAAGGAGTGGCAGAGTGAACCACATGGATATCTGAGAGACTAAGCTGTTTGGGAGCGTCAGCACCCCTCACAGGCACTGTGGCCATCTGACAAGGAGCAGTGACTAAACAGGGCCAGTTTGCCTCTGCTGGTGAAATAAAGAAGTGATGACAGGCTAGTGGGAGAGCACTGTTGGGGTAGGGGATTCTTCCTTCCTCTTCTCAGGTCATACTGCAAGGCAGCCACCCAGTAACCTTGTACATAAGGCCATTCATGCGACTGTTTCCTAACTCCACACTCAAAAACAAACAACACAACACCTAAACCAACTCTTGAAACAAAGAAAAATTTGTACATTTATCCCAACTCTTCTGAATGAATTCACAGCATACATATTTTGCTTAGAGAAAAGCAGACTTAGTAGATAGTAATGTTCAATATGAAAGAATTTCCAGTGTTGTATGAGGGAAAAGAGTAAAGCACTGGGGATTTAAATTAGAACAGACATGCAAATATCCAGCTACCCCCTGATCCCAGGTTTACCTCTACACCACAAGACCGAATCAGACCAAAGAAACAGGTCCTGACTGTACAATGTCAGCACTTGGTTGAATTTTTAGGTAGGTCTGTGGAATATGCTTCTCAAAAACATTTTAAAATACAATACGTGGTCTGTTTTAGTTTAGTGCTACATGAAGGAAGTAGTAGTATAAATAAATAACCTTTCTAAGTCCTTGGATCAGAGAGAATTGTTATCCTTTCTGGGCCCTGTTTGTACTGACAAATAAAACCTTTTTGCAATTCGCAGAGTGTCCATAAGGTGGCACTGGGAGTCCTTGCCTACGCAATAGGATAACCTGCACAGCACCTTTGAAGAAACTTGCTCCTAGGAGAAATTTCCAGACTGGCTGTCCTTACTTCTATCTTTGGAAAATGTCTAAGTTATAAGTTCACCCTGGCCCACCAAGAGAAGGAGCCATCATTACAGAAAGACTGATTTAAAGAGACTGGCATGGAGAGGCTCTCAAATTAGAAGTAGTGTGCAAGAGACAATTTACTTTGTGCCTCCCAAACCCATTATGTCTTGTCTTTTGAATTGTACAGAATAAATACACAGTTTTCAGGAGCTAAACTGAGCAGAGCTGTCATAAAGTCCTCATAGTTTTAGGCCCTCTTATTTCTAAGACTGCACATCTCACATTAAATATAATTCATAAAACAGTGTAAGACTGAATTGCAGTTGATTTGTCAACAAAATACTACATTTTGTGGACAATTAAACAAACATATTTATTTTGACTTTGCGGGATTTTTTTTTTAATGCCTCGAATATGTATCTAGTTCCTAGAAAATCTCAGAGGCCCTATGCACTACGCCTATAGTACCTAAAGAATAACCATCCCTAGAACTGATTCTCTTCTGTCAGACAAGCCTATCAGCTGAATAGGACCATTTTTCCCAAAATTTGATTTTCAGGGCATTAAGCAACACTCTTCTTTAAATCAGATTGCCTAAAAATAAGACATGTAACAGTCTTTATTTTTCAAGAGATGGACCAGTTCTACAAACTGCCTAGTTCTCCATCACCATCAGAATTCTTTCCAGTGTATACTCAAAGACTTCTCTAATTTTGTTTCCTAGCATTTTCTAAAATACCACCCCCACCACTCCAGTGTCACCTGTGTGAAGGTTTTCCCAGTCCCCCAAGAAGAATTAACTGACCCTGCCTCTGTATTCTCTTTGCCACACTTATAACCCTACAATAGCCCTTATGACTGCCTGTCTCGTATTAATCATCAGTATCTATAATCTCCTTAGATTATAGGATTATAAAAGCAGAAACCATGTCATGTTCAGTGTTGTTTCTCCATTGCTTAGCATAGCGCCTCAAAAATATTTGGGTTTAGTAACTGTTTACTGAATCCAACAAACACGGCATGTTCACGTAGAATCTCATTTCTCCAACCTGCATCCATCCGAATCACAGTCCAGCCTCCAATGCCCAGTTCAAGCCCCCACTTTCTTAGAGCTGTATTAATCCATTTTTCTGAAATCCCACAGTCCTACAGTCCATGAGTCATATTTCTGCACACAGGGAAAATACATGGGAGAATAAAATTGTTTCATGTGTGTGCATTTTGTCACTCAAGCTATTTGGGCAAATATTAGGTATTAACATCACTATGCAATTTACAAAAAGCACATTGTACATTCAAGTTTTAAAAGTCATTATTCTGAGTTTTTTAAGTCAGTCTGAGTGTGTGAGATCAGCCCTGTGCTAACATCTGCCAATTCTCCTCTTTTTTTGCTGAGGAAGACTGGCTCTGGGCTAACGTCGGTGCCCATCTTCCTCCACTTTATATGGGATGCTGCCACAGCATGGCTTGCCAAGCAGTGCATAGGTGTGTGGCCGGGGCGGCGAACCCCAGGCCACTGCAGCAGAGCACGCGCACTTAACCGCTGAGCCACTAGGCCGGCTCCTGTCAGTCTGGAATCTTACTGGGCATATGACTGTACTCCATTTGTTCCCCCCTTGGATAAACTGGGGTCTATTTTTGCAGTGTTGTCAAGCTGTCACTATTCACCAGCTGTAACAAAGCACATCAGAAAAAAAAATCAATAGCAGTCTACAGCTAAAACATCAACACACTTCCTGGAAAACGTTTTCAGCCACAGAGATAAACAGTTCAATGGGATTATCTCTATCTCTCCTTTAAACCCCAGCAAACACATCCTGGAAAAAAAAAATACACTTGTTGGGATAAAATTTTATCCAGACCTCCAAGAGCACATCTCACAGTGTGGTGCTTCTTTGATAACACAATGCATTATATAAAATGTCACTGCTCATTCTCTGCCTTCCATGAACATCTTTGGATCCAGAAAGTCACAACCACCTCTCTAATGGATGGCTTTTCTGAGGAATTTGAGTTTACTGGACAACAGCAGTCATTTATGCTCTCTTAATTTTTGGAAGAGGTATAAAAAGACAAAGACTTTGCCTCATACTTAGCCTATGTGTCTATATGCATATACACTAATATATGATTACATTTACAGGGTAGAATCTTATTAAGATGATAATATAAGAAAGCAGGATTCCACCTCCATAACAAGGTTTTCACATTATAAGAAGAATGTACGGTCGTCCTTACAGGGGCAGAAGACATGATCTGATCCTCAGCATATACTTCATGGCAGGCCATAATGCTTTGTGCTTTGTTAACGGTATTGTCTATTGGGTGGCTGGGAGTACACACACACACAATTTCAAAGCGGCAAGCTGATACAGGAGGCTTTATATGCAACTTCTAATTGAACCACTGGAAAAACATTTATAGGGCTTCATTTGCCTATGAACTCCCAAGCTGGCATGGTCCAATGAGTGAGGACAAGGTAGATCCTATGGTTTAAAAGACCCAGATGCCGACTTTGGGCTCACCACTCAGAAAACTCTTCCCCTCCCTGTGGTTGGTCGAGACTATTTCCAGTCACGGCCCACACAGCGCGATCCCTTCGGTAAACGTCCTGTCCCCTCTGTTTCCCGCAGTGCTGGTGCTGCTCATCCTGTCCATGAGGAGGCACCGGAAACAGCCCTACATCATCGACGACGAGGAGAACATCCACGAGAACATCGTCCGCTACGACGACGAGGGCGGCGGCGAGGAGGACACCGAGGCCTTCGACATCGCGGCCATGTGGAACCCCCGGGAGGCGCAGGCGGGCGGCGCCCCCAAGTCGCGGCAGGACATGCTGCCCGAGATCGAGAGCCTCTCCCGCTATGTGCCTCAGACGTGCGCCGTGAACAGCAGCGTCCACAACTACGTGCTGGCCAAGCTCTACGAGGCCGACATGGACCTGTGGGCCCCGCCCTTCGACTCCCTCCAGACGTACATGTTCGAGGGGGACGGCTCGGTGGCGGGGTCGCTGAGCTCCCTGCAGTCGGCCACCTCAGACTCGGAGCAGAGCTTCGACTTCCTGACGGACTGGGGGCCCCGCTTCCGGAAGCTGGCGGAGCTCTACGGGGCATCGGAGGGGCCCGTGCCCCTGTGGTGACGGAAGCCGGGAGGCAGGCGCGTGTCCAAACCTAGACGTTCTCAGCGGCTGCTTCGCGGCCGAGGCGCAGTCAACCGCGCGAGCAGTGCTGTGCTGGAGAGTGAGAATGGGGGTGAGCGGGCGAACAGAGCTCTCTCTGGATCAGCTTTACTTGGTTAGATTAAGTTAAGTAATCGAAAGGAAACACAGGAAGAGGGGCAAGAATCTCCAATGACCTTTTTTTCTTTTCTTTTTAATTTTTGTGACACTTCAAAGGCTTGGAGTCCAAGGTTAAGTATGGCAAGCTTGGCTATTCTTTGCCATTCACCAAGGCCTTTGTCACTTTTCCACCACAAAGAGGCTCTGATCTTAAGTAGAGGTGGCAATTGAAAGCAGACAGGAAGTTCTACTCTCATATCTTTTTTTTAAATCTTATTTTATTCTCCATTTAAGAGTTTTGCTGGCTCATCAAACGGCACAAACCAACCCACAGAAAAGAACACTGAAAAACTAGTCCTCAGTGAAATTAACCTACTTGTTCTAGGATGGATGGAATTTCTTTTAACCCTTTTGAGACAAGGTTAAGGCAAATCAGCCTTGCATGGGGGGTGGGTGGGGGGGTGGGAGAAGGAAGAGACATTGACTTTGCGCTCGAGTTTAATGGCTGAACCAAGAGTTGTTGGCGTTACGATGAATCCAGGTCCATCAAAGTTAGAGTGCTCTTGTTCTCTCAGCTCTTTTACTGTGCCCCTGGAAAATTGTTCAGAACGAAACCAGAAAATTTGCCTCTTTTGCACTGTAGATGTCTCTTCCATGTGCCAAATGTGAAGATTAGATGCTACAAATGAAAGCCAAATAAAAAGAAGTATCTGATAAAAGCATGGGTTAGAGGGCTTTCCTAATCTGTGTGAGGTCAATCCAAGGGATGTTTACATACTGTAGATAACCTACTTGAACAAAAATCAGTATTATAGAGAATAAATGGATGTAAGAAAATTACATGTATAAGTTTTGTATATTTGTTAATAATTTTGGTAATAAATATGATGTACTGCATCTCAGTACCTTAGCACTTCTTTTAATAAAAGTTGAATAGAAGGGAAAGTCTATTGGAAATTTGTTTAATTGCTCAGCAGATAAAAGATGGTGATCCTGACCTAGCCTCAGGTTCTTGGGGCTGGGGATGATTCCTAAGGCAAAGGCAGCTGCAAAGAAGTATGAGGCTGTGCATCCTGTTTCAGTCACTGAACAGATGAACGTTATGGTTCAAACTTAAACTTTTCATGAACACTTTTCATTCCCCCATCTCTGAGAAGAGGAATGGATGGTTTGATAACATCAATGATACAATGGTGAATTTCGCCCTTATTTTTCATTTTGTGAGAGGGCACCAAGGAGGCAGGCCACTGTGCTACCTTCATCTCTGTGCTATTGACAGTCTAATATGTACAAATATATACCAAATATGTACACATCATCAACACTGGATGAGCTCATAGAAAGCTGGGACCACATTTTATTCATCTTTCTTTTCCCCATAGTAGCTAACATAGTTCTTTGCATACAGTAGGTGCTTAATAAGTGTGTAATGGGTACATGATGGAAGGGATCTCTTTTTTTGACATCCTATTACTAAAAGATATTTTACACAATTGTGCTCACAATTGAGGACAAATTGTGAACAAAATAGTTTTCTGAGTGTCTTGGTTATAGGTTCTCAAATTTTAATGTGTTTCAGAATCACCTGGAACACTTATTAAACTATAGCTTTTGGGGCCTTACTCCCAGAGTTTCTAATTCAGTCTGTCTGGAGCAACTGGCATTTCTAACAAGTTCCCAGGTAATGCTGATGCTGCTGGCCCAGAGACCACACTTTGAGAACCTCTGGTATATAGTCACTCTCTCTCAAACATACAAAGATTAGATTATCAGCCCTCTTGCACTGGAGCCCACCCCATCTGCCACTGGCAGAAATGTGTGAGAACGCTGATGAGGATCTTGGAGCTAGCAGAATGTGCTTCGTGCTTTATTACGTGGTACACTAACAGCCAGGCAAATTCTCATCTTCAACTTTCGGCATACTAACCCTTTCCACCCATGAATGGCGGCTCTCACACATTCTCTCTGGGGGTAATGTGTGAAGATTTCTTAGCAAAGAAAAAGAAAAAGCATGAACTTGAGTCCAAACTAGGCTCTACGACACACCAGTTATTTGAATGTGGGCAAATTAACCCCTATAACATTCTTCCTTTCACCAGCCCTGAGGATAATTTTGTGACTATGTCACTTTGTGTTGCATGTGTTAAAAACTGGGAACAGCTGTTATCCTAACCACAGGGGGTTATCATGCCCCATATCCTGCTTGTGGTCCCCATGATACTGGGCATGAAGTGATTAAACAGAATCTCCTCGAGCTTCTGGTCCCCGGGAGGATGTTTAATGGTGTGATACAGGAAGTGTGAGAGAAGCACAGAATAGGAGATCCATTTCAGCTCACATTCTATGCCGAAAGAGACTCTTCCCTCCAAATGAGTTTCAAAATTCACTTTCCACTGCCACAGTTTACCACAAATTGTAGTTCCTCTGAAAAAATAAAAACATCACCACCAGACAGAATGCAGAGAGTGTGATCAGGTTAGGCAAGAGAGCTGTAAAATTGTTCAGCCATTTCTTTGTTAACAGGTAAAGCAGCTAGCCTATAATGTACATGTTGGAGGAAACAGGAGCATCTGTGGAAATCAATTGATAAGACTCTGTCTGAAACTGTATTCTGAACAAGAATACAAGCAAAGATAGAAATTAGCAATGAATGTTCTGAATCAAAAAGGCAGAATATCCCAACATGGCAGATAGCAAAGATAAAGATGAAGTGGTTCACACAAGAAAGAATCTATAAATCTGAAAACAAAATTCAGACAAGCCAAAATTAATGCAGGCACATTGATTAAGTGTTGTTACTAGTTTACTAGTGATCCAGAACTAGACTTTGATGTCAGAATTATCCTTTATAGTGCTGGGACCACATGAACATAGGAGACAATTTACAAGTAATTCTTATTGCAGATTGATTCATTCTCCAAATCCATTTGTCATCTTCATAATAGAGCTAAAGAACTTTCAAGATATTTTTATGTATAAATACCTGGATTTGGGAGGCTTCTCCTTGATTCCAAGAGTCAAGGTTTTGATATAGGGAGTGGACAGAATTAGATCAAGGAATCCTCTTTTCAAAATGATCTGGTAATGAGACATATCTGTCTCTTGTGATTCATGTTGTGCAAAAACCATGAGTACTAATTTATAGTATGTGTAATTAACTACAGCATTAACCCAAAACACGATTTTTCTTAAATCTTCTTCCTGGGACAGGAAGTCAGCAAATCCTATCCCATGTGTTTGGCCACGCTCTTGATTTTGTAAGACGTCAGACGGCTGATAATGAGGGAGTTTCTTCCACTCTGATACGTTAGCTACTGTGGCCACCTTCCTGGTACCCATGACAACAAGGACTACTTCCCATCCCAGAAAGCCTTAGATCTCTTCTCTGAGAGTCTCCACTCTCCAAAACTAGTAAAACTGCCTAGGAATATTTTCTAACTTGTCAGGAGGGCTGGATCCTAGCTTTTCTTTTATTACTTCCCTTACTGCCCCTTCCTCTGTATCAACTGTTTTGTTACCATTGCTGCATAAAAAGACACTCTAAACTTAGTGGTGTAAAATAACAACCATTTTATTGGGCTCACAGATTCTGTGGGTTGGGAATTCAGAAAGGATACATCAATGACACCTCCTCTCTGCTCCACAATGTCAGGACCTTAGCTAGGGTGACTCAAAGGCTGGGAGGAGACTCATCCAAAGGCTTGCTCCCCCAAATGTCAGGTGGTTGATGCTGGATCTCAAGAAAGACCTCAGATGGAGCTGTCAATAAGACCTCCTCATGGCTGCTTGGGCTTCATCATATCATAGGGGCTGGGATCCAAGAGTGAACATCACAAGAAAACCAGGCAGAAGCTGAATCACCTTTTATGACTTCAGAAGTCACACAGCATTACTTCCACAATGTTCACAAGCATCCCCATATTGAAAATGAGGGAAGAAAGACTCCATCTCTCATTGGGAAGAGTGTCAGAGCTACATTGTAAGAAGAAATAATGTGCCCATGGTTGGAAAGAACAATCAACCACATCATCTTTCCCTTTTTTCTACCCTGGTTCCTCCCTCCATTCCAGGAATCCCTTTGGATTCCATTCACCATTTCCTTTCTCCCTTCCACTGTTCCTCCTCTCTACAGAGTACATTCTTTTTCTGTAGGTATATTATTCTTTTCTGAAATTCAGTTTTATCTCTAGCATACAATACTGGCAAAAGTAAATGAATATTTTGTGAAAACACCCAGCAAAATATCTGACATATAAACAGACATACGATATATTTTTATTGAGGTAGAATTAATATATAATAAACTATAAATATTTAAAGTATACAATTTAATAAGTTTTGACATATATATACACCCATGAAGCCATCACCACAATCAAGATAGTAAATATACTCATCACCCCCAAAAGTTTTCCTGTGGTCCTTTGTAATACCTCTCTCCCACCCCTTCATACCCTCTCTCCACCTCCAATCAAGCACTGATTTGCTTTCTTTTTTTTTTTTTTAATTTTTATTTATTTATTTTTTTCCCCCAAAGCCCCAGTAGATAGTTGTATGTCATAGTTGCATAGCCTTCTAGTTGCTGTACGTGGGATGCGGCCTCAGCACAGCCAGAGAAGTGGTGCATCAGCGCGCGCCCGGGATCCAAACCCGGGCCACCAGCAGCAAAGTGCGCACACTGAACCACTAAGCCAGGCGGCCGGCCCTGATGTGCTTTCTATCACTACAGATTAGTTTGCATTTTCTAGAGTTTTATATAAATGGAATCATACAGTGTATACTTTTTGGGGGGAGGGGTAAGGGGAGGGCTGTGGCTTCTTTCACTCAGCGTTAATATTTTGAGATTTACCCATGTCACTATGTGTATCAGTAGTTCATTGCTTTTTGTTGCTGACTAGTATTCCATTATATAGATATACCACAATTTGTTTATTCATTCACATATTAGTCTGCTCATGCTGCCATAACAAAATACCATAGACTGGGTGGCTTAAACAACAGAAATTTATTTTTTTTTAGTTCTAGAGGTTGGAAGTC